GAGATACAGGCTAACACAACACTGGGGCACACTCACCTCGCGGAAAAGCAGCTACACGCCGAAGAGACGAACCTCCGGTTAAGTTATCGGCCGTTGTGAATCCATTTGAAATCCGGGAAAAAAGGATCGAGCGACCGTTTCACAAGGGTAAACACACTCGCGGGGCGAAGATCGGGCGGGCCACACACAGTCAGAAAACACACGGGAGAGAACCATTCGTTCGCGCCTCGTGCTTAGATAGTTTTGCGTTCGCTCATTGTTGAATGTGGCCAAGCACGCCCCCTTCAGAGACCGGTCGACCGAGGAATGGAGCGGAGAAAGGAGCAACAAAGAGGGAGAGAGGTGGACGAGGACGGGGAGAGAAACAGAAGGAGAGGACCGCGAGGCGAAGATAGGGAAAGGAGGATGGTCGAGGAGAATGCGAGATGAAAGGAGCGAGAGAGCAAAGGAGGCGACGATTCCAGACGGTGGAAAATGCGACGACCGCGCGGATATCTCAAGTTACGGACACTTAGGTACACTCCATCTCGTTTATTCGAACGAATCGGTGATCGCTCGACGAGCGTGCAAACGCTGAAGTTCCAGATGATCACCTCGGGGGAACACTAAAACCAACCAACCAACCAACCGGCGTGACAACCATTCGACGATCAAAGAACGATTATAATCCCACGAGGCGCGTGTTACGATTCATTTTTCAAGGACGGAGAGAAAGATCGACGAGTGACACCGATTTTACGTACGAACGGTCGGTAAACACTGGCTCGTGGAAGAGAAATATACAGGTGTACACTCGCGCGCCGGCTGCGTTTCCTTGACTACCGTGTGATCCAGTATCGATCTCACGCACGCTTTAAAAACACAGTCTCCTCGCGATCACGCTGCTCACGGTGACGGTCGATCAATATCCAAATGAACATTCCGCGTGATTTTTACAGAGAAACCTCTGACAAAATGCATGGAGACAGCGGGCAAACACCCTGGCGTTAAAACGAGCTAGTACTGGTTGCCGATTTCACGAGACACTCGAGGCCAGCACGCAGAACGTTCCTCCTTGGTCGCGGCCCGGCCTCTACTGAGAAACAAGTACGCCAGGGGGCAGTCACGAGCAAGCGGTTCTCGAACCGCTGGGAGCCTGAAAAGCCGTCTTCAGAAATTCCTGATGTTCGTTTATGTGCGGTTTTGTAGATGCACCGGGCAACCGGACCAAGTACGATCCACCCGCCCCTAGCCTCGCTTACTCGCCGGCCCTGACGAAACAACAACGACGACGACGACGACGACGACGTTCCATTGTTTCGTTGCCTCCTGGCTCAGGAGCATGGCACACAGGCAAACAGGCAACTGCGGTAGCGCACGTGCACGCCCGTTCAATACACGCTAATCCCTCGTGCATGTACGAGCAGGTTAGAAGGCATACACACACATGCACACACACGAGCGCACACTCGTAACTATGAACCGACTGTACACCGGTCGACCAGTCACGCACGATCTCTCGTTCGTGTATGAATGTGTAGTCCGGTTACCACCGGACCCGAACCCATCACCAACACATCGTCAACCTACAGCCTGCACGTACACGCTCGGCACAACGTTCCGTTCCCTCGCGAGCGAACGAAAAGCCCATCACGCGCCGGCTTTGAAGTACCGATGGAAATTTATTGTACGCCCTTCTTGCCACTTGGCCCCTTTCACCTCGATTTTGCAGTCATTTCGGCCAATTTCACGTTCCATGGAACGGTATTTACTGCTAGCAGCTTGACATTGGGATCTCCCAACGACAGGGGAGGACAGAAGAGGGAGAAAACGAGGAGAGGGAAAAGTAGCAATTGAACGGGCGTGCGAGAGAAAGAGAGAGAGAGAGAGAGAGAGAGAGAGAGAGAGAGAGAGAGAGAGAGAGAGAGAGAGAGAGAGAGAGAGAGAGAGAGAGACGAGCGTATAAAGGGAACTTTAAGTGGGTGGGAGAGCTAAGAGCTAGATGGAAGCACGATGGGGAAGGGGAAGGCGATGTCGAGCAACCGAACTTGACCCTCCGGTGGATTTGCATTTTCGTAGGTTTGCTTTAGCTGACAGGGGAATTTTTAATCGCTTAAGGAAGAGTTATCGTTCGCTTCGTCGTGAAATGATACGTATAAACATTAATTCGATGCGTTGATTTACGATTCGTTAAACTGTCAAGACTGTTATTTTATTGAATCAACTACGAATCAACTTTCGTCAGTACTTTGACGATCTTCAAGTTTTACTAACTTGAAACGTACGTGCATTAATTTCAATTCATCTTCGATACTTTGTTTGAGAAATTTTGCAACAGAGTAAAAAGTATAAAAATAATAGGCAAGGATATAAAAATAATAGGCACGGCGTATCTTGAAGAATCTGAAAAAGTCGTGTAAAATGAGATAGATATGTACTTGGAATTCCTTTTCTGATGTGTTAATGCAACGTTTGCCTGCGTATTTTCTTTGTGTTCTAGCGAAAGGAATGCCGCGCCAGCGCTCCGTTATGATCTTGAATACGCATTAAGGAATTTATTCCTGCTAGAACCATGAACTACATAATGTTTTTTACCTACAAGCATGCGTTAAATGCTTTGTTTACAATTTATTGTCATTGATCAGCTATGCAACCTTCTACAAAATGTTAACAGTAAAGATCAACCGCTAATAAATTATATATATATGTTAACCGGAAAGTAAAGAAAAAAAGGATTGATTGTACAGAGTTTTTTACTTCTGATTCACTAAAATATTATCTCGTTACTACGAATTATGAATTAAATACAGTCTTCTTCGAAAGAATAAATTCAAGAAATCTAATCAAATTTATTTATATCGTGAACACACGTTTCGAGCATATGTTTCTTATATATACGCAGTTTTTAATTACATATGCTTTCGTACAAATTAAATACAAATCGCACAAATTAATTTACTTTTATTAAATTGATTGTATACTTTTATTAAATTAATTTTATTAAATTAATTTACTCTTATTAAATACTCGATATATCAATTATACTCTAATCGTGAAATTAGTTATTTCAATATAGTGTTTCTTTAGTTGCCGCTAGGAATCAGCCGCGTCTTGGATCACGTGCGAGGAAGAGACCATGATATACGTGCTCGACAAACGAAAGCAGCTTTGATAAACGTAACCTGAGGCGGATCTGATAACGACTCATCGCATTTAGAAAGCTAATGGCGGACCTACCGCGGGAACAAAAAGCATTTAAACGCGCATTCAGTTTTTCCATTAGCACATTTCGCCGCACGAATATTCCGTGGCAGCTCTGTCGTCGCTAGTTGCTCCATAGTTTATGAAACTTCCCTCGCTTACGGTGATGGCGTTGCGCCACTTGTGTTCTTTGTGGAAATGAGATCCGAAGAAAAATGAAACGCAGATAAGGAAAATGAAAACGAAAGGGGAAAGAAATGTCGCTGTTTAACTACTCGTATATAAAAACTCTTTTATGAACACGCATATTTTCAATACGCAGATAATATTCGTGCGAGAGTATTTTGTTTATTTTAATTATCTTTATGCACACCTTGATACGAAAATATATTACATAAAAGCCTGTATCGCAACCATTAGATAAGATTAGTGTCGCTCTCTAATGGAAACTGTGCGTTTACTGGGCAGTTTGTTACAATTGTTGCAGCCGTGTACTTCGAAAATACACGCTAGTTTATTATTTTCCCGCTTGTTAACAGGTATAAATGCCCGCCTGTAAACAGATATATTTAACAGTAAAATTATACACAATTGTAGGGGACACGACCCAGGTAGTACCATAACTAATACAATAAATGTATTGCTTTCAACGACGTGGATCCTGGGACGTAGTACCGTCAAGGCCATAAGGTAATTGCCAAAAGAAAACTCTCATGACCCTGACCGTGCAGTTCCCAATTAAGTAATAAAACTTCCAAATCCTTCGACCTGGAAAAGACACAAAAGATTCGGGGGTATATAAGAACCGACTCCAACGCACGAGTGTTATAGTTCTTCTTCGATACCGAGGTCTACGCTAGAAAGTGATATCTCCGTCGTGCTGTGTATCTCCTACTGCTCCACTTGCAAGTATCATTTTGTTATTATTAGTGTTTGGACGACAAGTCCGTTGTTTTACAATTTTTGTGCGCTGTTTAAATAAACGTTATTGATTTAAAACACTAAAACACTCTTAACTGATCGTTTGCACCCGTAGTTGTGACCAGATAAAACGTGTCTCATTGTGGAATGTAATGAAGTGTTAGGTGTCGACAACTTTCGATGTCGAATACGTGAATACAGAGTGAACTGAAAGCAGGTGTGAATATCGACGACGGATATGAATAAAGCTCTCTCTCTCTCTCTCTCTCTCTCTCTCTCTCTCTCTCTCTCTCTCTCTCTCTCGTTTAGTTATCTATTGAAAATGAATTGTCTCGTCTGTGATCCTGCTCTCTGTAATTGTAATTATAATTGCAATACTACGCTTCAGTGCTTTACAAATAATATTCGAATAAATGTTAAGCTCATATGCTTCTTACCTTTGATGATGAAAGTTAACAATAACATCACTTCACCATCAATACTTTGCACACGCGTACTAACAATACTAATGCATTATAAATCTGTAAATTAACAGGATTCAAATTAATCTTTTATCATATTACTGTTGGATTCCTTGTAATGGAGTCAACACGCTTATAATTTAGAAGAGTTTATTCGTGGTCGTCTATGAAATAGAATGATATAGAGTGATTTGCAATGATTTAGAATGTCTTAGAATATGATGAATGTCTAATGCTCTTGAGTATGACGTAGAATGTCTCTATAATGATTTAGAATGTTTTATGCTCTCGAATGTCTCTAATGCATATCCTTATACATATTTGGTTATCATCGTCAAGTGGAAGGGGAAGGAGCATAAATGACCAACTATTGGATCTTGCCCTTATGACTATTCACAGTCCACTTTTACGTGGATTGTCAGTATTTGCATAGAGTCAATATTGTCCGGTTTGGTCATCCAACATTACTAGCGATGAAAATTATTATTGGATATAAAATAAAATTTAATTCACAAGAAACGAATAAATGATTGCTTCTCATCTATTCGTTAACGTAATTCACGATTCGCTTATTTATGTAAATTACGATCAGACTCGTAACGTAAGGTTATCAGGCAGCGGCAGTGTCAAACTATTTTCATCATTCAATGAAGAGATTTCTTTGTGCTCCGAGTTCACTTAATAAATTGATAAACGTCGAAACGCTTTATTCGTTATCCATCTCGGCTCAACAGCGCTTGTAAATTAATAATTTCTCGTCTGCGTATATTGCACCTATAATATTCAATCCTTCCATAATTGATGTGCGAAAATTTATAGCGACATCTTATCGGGCAAATACATTATTCATCGTCGGTTTATTACGTAACAAAAATTATCGCGTTTTGTTAAAATTGATTGCATATTTTATGATTTCGTAAAAACGATCACTCTAAATTAAAATATCTAAACTGTAGAGAGGGTATCTGAACGGTCTGGGTATCTGCTAAATTCTGGGAAACATTACTACAGTATGCCATACGCTCTGGTTGGGTGAACAACACTTGGTTCAATTATCAATACGAAATTGTACGTTGTCTCGAGCTTCGAGAGCCATAAGTTGTAAGTGACAAATTTACGTGGTATTTTATAATATAGATAACGTAGAAGTATTACGCTACATTCTTACGTAATAACAAACAGAAGAAGACAGAAGATAATATACAATTTATCAGCGTGTTTTGTATTCGGAAATTATTTCCAAATAATGTTTGCACTACTCGATATGAAATTGTAAAAGATAACAATTAGCCGATCTATTTGTAAAACTGAACAAAGTGCATAACTGGAATTTTACCAACGTTTCATCGTTATCGGTTGACATCGCTAATTATCATTTTGACATTCAAGGGAGAAGTAGAGTAAAAACATATATTTTAATTTACAGCTAGTTTGCAAAAAAATTTGCAACAAGAACATCGATATGTGTCCCGAGTGGAACCAACTTGCTACTCACAAGGAACCGCCAGCGATACTTAAGACTAAACTGCAGCTACCTGTAAAAATTTTAACAAGCCCCGGGCCGACTAATTGTTCGGAGCGAGTTCTTCAATCTCTTAAAAATCAAGTTCTCGGTCATCTTCATCCGGAAATTTGCCAGGTAACCGTGTCTTGCGTTCAAATAATTAATAATTAATAATTAATAATTAATATATAATTATAATTAATAATATATAATTAATAATTAATAATTAATATATAATTATAATTAATGTATATTATATTAATATATAATTAATAATTAATAATTAATATATATTATATTAATATATAATTAATAAATAATATATAATTCAAAAATAAAAATTAACTAAATCGAAGGACAGCGACTGATACACAGTTTTTCAATAAAATTGAAAGAGCGTGAAGTACTTATGTATAGTATGATTTGACCGGTTATTGTTGCTTAGAGAAACAATTTGAGAGATTGCTATCTGTGAGCTGTATATTCTGTCATCGGGCAATGTTTCATACCATGTAAGATGATATAAAATTAAAATGACATCACATTTCAATCTTTTCTTTTTCTTCTTGATTAACAACCTAGTTGATGGATGAGATTAAGGCAGGCCTTCAGTATGTGTTTCAAACCAATAATAGGCTCACATTGGTATTAAGTGCGTCAGGTCATGGTGGTATGGAGGCCTGTTTAACAAATTTGCTCGAACGCGGCGAAACTGTACTCGTTGTCAAGAGTGGAATTTGGGGTGAACGCGCAGCTGACATGGCTGCTCGAATTGGTGTACACGTAGGTAGTACAGTTCTTGAAAGAATCAACGCTATCAAGACTCTAAGATTAAATTTAAACACACAGGCGGAAGTGATAGAAACAGAACACACCAGCGCTGTCACGTTGGAACAACTGGAAATAGCGTTGCGTCGGTATAATCCAGCCGCGGTTTTCATGGTCCACGCTGAATCCTCCACAGGTTTGAAACAACCACTAGAAGGTTTCGGCGATCTCATTCACAGGTAAATGATTTTCTTTTCAAACGTAACTTGAACATGAATTGCATTCTATTTGTATTATCGCAGAAAAGAATATCATGATATTGTTTAATACAAGTTTACCCAACATCCATCATACCCTTCTTAAGCATTTCCTTAAACATTAACTGAAAAAATGTATCGATCAAATTGGGCACGTAAAGTAAATGAAAAATTTTTCCAGATACAACGCGCTTTTTATCATTGATACTGTCGCATCGCTGGGCGGCGAACCGTTCTTCATGGACTCCTGGGGCGTCGATGCAGCCTATACTGGCAGTCAAAAGGTTCTCGGTGCTCCTCCAGGATTATCGCCTATCTCGTTTAGTCCACGGGCTGAGTACGTAATCACGTCGCTGTCTGTTTCTCTTTGTCTGATGCAAACCGCGACGTATCTCCCGTATCTCCCGGAACACTTGTGAAAATGGTCAGAGAATTGAGACTTCTAGCGATCCCCTTTGAATATCAATACAATCCTCGAGGTCGTCACGGTGACTCGCGGTCGACTCGGTTCCTCTATGATTCATAGAAGACGACGGGTGAATTCTTCTTCGATGATAGTCCGATGCATTTTGAATGGAATAGTCTGTGTCTGTCACTGAACCATCCATTATGACGAGACCTACCTATATGTGCCACCATAGTAAAAATTTACCTCTGTCAATTTACTAATCTCCTCGCATGTTTCTTCTTTAACGGCGCCCAATGAGGTTACGCTCGCCTCGATTATTAACGCACAACCTCGTTGTACACGCACTCGTCCTCGGTATCAACTCTTTATTATTATTACTAGTTTCTGGCCTAATTATTCTTAATAATTACTCGCCATTCATCACGACACGGCAATTTCATCGCGTTCTCTGTTGCATTAGGACGAAATTGCTGCAAAGGAAGACCAAGCCCAGTTCGTATTACTTGGACATGACGCTCCTTGGAAATTATTGGAAATGTTTTGGGAACGAGAGTCGCGTGTACCATCACACCGCAAGCGCCACGCTTCTTTATGGCCTTCGCGAGGCGTTGGCGGAAATCGCTGAAGAGGGTCTCCGAGCATCGTGGATCCGACACGCTAGCGCAGCTGCCAGATTAAGAAGGGGCCTTGAATTACGGGGTCTTCGATCTTACGTGAAAATTCCACAGTATCAATTATCCACGGTTATCTCAATAGAGCTGCCACCTGGCGTCGACGATACGATCATCATACAACGTGCCATGAAAAAGTAAGTCGTCTCCTCTTCGTAAATTTGAATCGAATTGTTGTGACATTACCATTCGACTGCAACATTCGCAACGTGATTGAATCAATTGTGCACGAAGTGAAAGAAAATTGTTTTTGAACATATTAAAACCATTGTGATTACTTCAGCTGCAACGTGGAAATCAGCAGAGGCTTGGGACCAACTGTGGGGAAAGTTTTGCGAGTTGGATTGTTGGGGATCAATGCTACATTTGACAAAGTCGATCTTATTCTACGCGCTCTGGAAATTTTACCGTCGAAGCTGTGAGAAACAGTTGAGACAAGTTATGTGGACATACGATGCTGACTTATGTAGAAAAATAACTATATTATCGTCAAAAATTAAGTTGGTCGTCTCTCAAGAATAGTCACGCAAGCGTTCACGTTCACAGATGTAACAACATTATTCATATTTTCTGATTTTAATTTTTATTAGTAGTAACGCTGCAGTGCAAAGCCTGCATAAATTGATATGGTAAAATGTGACACGAAAATAGTATGGGAATCAAGCGACACCCAAAACTTGGGATACGAAAAAGCATTAGATGTTGAGTTAGACCAGTTATCCCAGTTAGACAATGGAATTATATGACACTGACTAATAAATTAACATTTAATATATCAACAGAGTTATAAGTTAAGAACTAACAATAAGAACTGTAAAATTATTGATTACTGTAATAAAAAAATTGTTTTTGGAAATACTGACTTACACCTGTTGTGCAACGCTGACTTTACCTGAAAGTTGTGCAGCAAGAGATGCACTTTGATAGTTATCATTCTTTAACAATCACTGTAATATGCGTTATATCTTTGCATGTACATAAATAATCTTAGTCTAACAATACTATTGCTATTTAAATATCATTAGATACTTTCATTATTTCTCTTTGAATCTATAATTAGGAAAACAATTTAGTCCCTACCATTAATTAGTCAAACAAGAATATCTCTTTAATAAATTACACAACAGACTGATCAAATCATTATGCTCTATCTTATAAATATCTTTTCTCTTTTTAAAAAATTACATAAATTCAACACAAGTGTCAATCATGACTCGTGTAATGAATAAATAAAACACTACTGATTTACAATATATTCTAATGAGACCCGAACGTAATCACTTCCACGTGGTGGGTCTTGGTAGTTGATACCGTTTTACAAACTCTAAAGTTTGAAAAACGATATTTAGCTAAAAACTACGCAAACAATACTACAGTTTACATCATACAAAATACATTCATTTGATTCCGTATAACATATTTGATTCAGTACTAGAGTCAAGCAATAAATAGTCAATAAGTAAATATTCACAAAAAAAATCTCCTTAAAAAGTAACTATCAATTCCCGAAAAATTTCAGCTTCAAAAACTTTGGAAACCACACTGTTTCAGGAAAAACAGTTCGACGAGAGCCACTATAGTGCCATCTCCTCAATAGCCATATGATACTGATTCAAAATTCGAAAAATCAGTGAGAAACACCTTCTGGCTCTTGAGATATCAACGCTTGAAAATTTCAGAAAAACGTCTGCATAAGGAGAATTGCTAGAAACGGGAACATATCGTGCCATATTTTCGTTGGTCACATCCTCCTGATATAAAATTCGAAATACCCTCTGTCAATAAAGATATTTCCACTACTCTATCCGGAAGACCGGTTTACGAGAGCTACGTCGTACCACCTCTCCGATGGTCATATACTCCGGGTACAAAATTCGAAATTTCAGCGAAAAACACATTCTCTCTGTCGAGATATTCACGCATGAAATTTTTTCGAAAAACCTATGTATCAGGAGAACCGATAGAGACGAGGCCTTGTAGTGCCACCTCTTCGATGGGCATGTTCTCCTGATACAAAATCCCAAATTTCAGCGAGAAACACATTCTCGTTCTCGAGATATCCTCGCTTGGAAATTTTTCGGAAAACCTATGTATCAGGAGAAACGATAGAGGCGAGGCCATGTCGTGCCACCTCTTCGTTGGGCATGTTCTCCTGATACCAAATCCCAAATTTCAGCGAGAAACACGTTCTCGTTCTCGAGGTATCCCCGCTTAAATTTTTTTGAAAAACGTATGTATCAGGAGAACTGATGGAGGCGGGGCCTTGTAGTGCCACCTCCTCGATGGGCATGTTCTCCTGATACCAAATCCCAAATTTCAGTGAGAAACAGATTCTCGTTCTCGAGATATCCTGTCTTGAAAATTTTTCGAAAAACCTATGTATCAGGAGAACCGATAGGGGCTGGGCCTTGTAGTTCGACTTCTTCGTTGGGCATGTTCCCCTGATTCCAAATCCCGAATTTCAGAGAGAAACAGATCCTCGTTCTCGAGATATCCTCGCTTAAAATTTTTTCGAAAAACCTATGTATCAGGAGAACCGATAGGGGCGGAGACATGTAGTGCCACCTCTTCGTTGGGCATGTTCCCCTGATTCCAAATCTCAAATTTCAGCGAGAAACACATTCTCGTTCTCGAGATATCCTCGCTTGCAAATTTTTCGAAAAATCTTTGTATCAGGAGAAACGATAGAGGCGAGGACTTGACGTGCCGCCTCTTCGTTGGCCATTTTCTCCTGATACAAATCAGAAAATTCAGCGAGAAACGCATTCTCGTTCTCGAGTTATCCTCGCTTGGAATTTTTTCGAAAAACCTATGTATCAGGAGAACCGATAGGGGCGAGGCCTTGTCGTACCACCACTTCGTTGGGCATGTTCGCCTGATACAAAATCCGAAAATTCAGCGAGAAATACATTGTGGCCGTCGAGATATCCTCGCTTGAAGTTTTTTCGAAAAACTTATGTATCAGGAGAACAGATAGGGGTGAGGCCTTGAAGTGCCACCTCTTCGTTGGGCATTTCCCTGATTCCAAATCCCAAATTTCAGAGAGAAACATATCCTCGTTCTCGAGATATCCCCGCTTAAATTTTTTTGAAAAACGTATGTATCAGGAGAACTGATGGAGGCGGGGCCTTGTAGTGGCACCTCCTCGATGGGCATGTTCTCCTGATACCAAATCCCAAATTTCAGCGAGAAACCCATTCTCGTTCTCGAGATATCCTGGCTTGAAAATTTTTCGAAAAACCTTTGTATCAGGAGAAACGATAGAGGCGAGGACTTGACGTGCCACCTCTTCGTTGGCCATTTTCTCCTGATACAAATCAGAAAATTCAGCGAGAAACGCATTCTCGTTCTCGAGTTATCCTCGCTTGGAATTTTTTCGAAAAACCTATGTATCAGGAGAACCGATAGGGGCGAGGCCTTGTAGTGCCACCTCTTCGTTGGGCATGTTCTCCTGATACCAAATCCCAAATTTCCGCGAGAAATACATTCTCGTTCTCGAGGTATCCCCGCTTAAATTTTTTCTAAAACGTATGTATCAGGAGAGCTGATAGAGGCGGGGCCTTGTAGAGCCACCTCCTCGATGGGCATGTTCTCCTGATACCAAACCCCAAATTTCAGCGAGAAACACATTCTCGTTCTCGAGATATCCTCGCTTGCAAATTTTTCGAAAAACCTATGTATCAGGACAACTAATAGAGGCGAGGCCTTGTCGTACCACCACTTCGTTGGGCATGGTCGCCTAATACAAAATCCGAAAATTCAGCGAGAAATACATTCTGGCCGTCGAGATATCCTCGCTTGCAAATTTTTCGAAAAACCTATGTATCAGGAGAACAGATAGGGGTGAGGCCATGAAGAACCACCTCTTCGTTGGGCATTTTCCCCTGATTCCAGATCCCAAATTTCAGAGAGAAACATATCCTCGTTCTCGAGATATCCTCGCTTGTAATTTTTTCGAAAAACCTTTGTATCAGGAGAAACGATGGAGGCGAGGACTTGACGTGCCACCTCTTCGTTGGCCATGTTCTCCTGATACCAAATCCCAAATTTCAGCGAGAAACACATTCTCGTTCTCGAGATATCCTGGCTTGGAACTTTTTCGAAAAACCGAAATATCAGGAGAAACCATAGAGGCGAGGCCTTGTCGTGCCACCTCTTCGTTGGTCATATGCTCCTGACACAAATCAGAAAATTCAGCGAGAAACGCATTCTCGTTCTCGAGTTCACCTCGCTTGGAACTTTTTCGAAAAACCTATGTACCAGGAGAAACGATAGAGGCGAGGCCTTGAAGTGCCACCTCTTCGTTGGGCATTTTCCCCTGATTCCAAATCCCAAATTTCAGGGAGAAACATATCCTCGTTCTCGAGATATCCTCGCTTGGAATTTTTTCGAAAAACCTATGTATCAGGAGAACCGATAGGGGCTGCGCCTCGTAGTGCGACTTCTTCGTTGGGCATGTTCCCCTGATTCCAAATCCCGAATTTCAGAGAGAAACAGGTCCTCGTTCTCGAGATATCCTCGCTTAAAATTTTTTCGAAAAACCAATGTATCAGGAGAACCGATAGGGGCGAGGCCATGTAGTGCCACCTCTTCGATGAGCATGTTCTCCTGATACCAAATCCCAAATTTCATCGAGAAACACATTCTGGTTCTCCAGATATCCTCGCTTGAAATTTTTTCGAAAAACCTATGTATCAGGAGAACCGATAGGGGCGGAGACTTCTAGTGCCACCTCTTCGTTGGGCATGTTCCCCTGATTCCAAATCCCGAATTTCAGCGAGAAACATTCTCGCTCTGGAGGTATCCACGGTTAAATTTTTTTGAAAAACGTATGTATCAGCAGAACTGATGTAGGCGGGGCCTTGTACTGCCACCTCCTCGATGGGCATGTTCTCCTGATACCAAATCCCAAATTTCAGCGAGAAACACATTCTCGTTCTCGAGATATCCTGGCTTGAAAATTTTTCGAAAAACCTTTGTATCAGGAGAAACGATAGAGGCGAGGACTTGACGTGCCACTTCTTCGTTGGCCATTTTCTCCTGATACAAATCAGAAAATTCAGCGAGAAACGCATTCTCGTTCTCGAGTTATCCTCGCTTGGAATTTTTTCGAAAAACCTATGTATCAGGAGAACCGATAGGGGCGAGGCATTGTAGTGCCACCTCTTCGTTGGGCATGTTCTCATGATACCAAATCCCAAATTTCCGCGAGAAACACATTCTCGTTCTCCAGATATCCTCGCTTGAAATTTTTTCGAAAAACCTATGTATCAGGAGAACCGATAGGGACGAATCCTTGTAGTGCCACCTCTTCGATGGTCATGTTCTGCTAATACCGAATCCCAAATTTCAGAGAGGAAGACATTCTCTTTCTCGAGATATCCTCGCTTGAAATTTTTTCGAAAAACGTATGTATCAGGAGAAACGATAGAGGCGAGGCCTTGTCGTGCCACCTCTTCGTTGGGCATGTTCTCCTGATACCAAATCCGAAATTTCAGCGAGGAACACATTCTGGTTCTCCCGATATTCACGCTTGAAGTTTTTTCGAGAAACCTATGTATCAGGAGAACCGATAGTGGCGAGGCCTTGTCGTGCCACCTCTTCCTTGGGCATGTTCTCCTGATACAAATGACAAAATTCAGCGAGAAACGCATTCACGTTCTCGAGTTATCCTCGCTTCGAATTTTTTCGAAAAACCAATGTATCAGGAGAACCGATAGGGGCGAGGCCATGTAGTGCCACCTCTTCGATGAGGATGTTCTCCTGATACCAAATCTCAAATTTCAGCGAGAAACACATTCTGGTTCTCCAGATATCCTCTCTTGAAATTTTTTCGAAAAACCTATGTATCAGGATAACCGATAGGGGCGGGGCCTTGTAGTGCGACTTCTTCGTTGGGCATGTTCCCCTGATTCCAAATCCCGAATTTCAGAGAGAAACAGATCCTCGTTCTCGAGATATCCTCGCTTAAAATTTTTTCGAAAAACCTATGTATCAGGAGAACCGATAGGGGCGGAGACTTGTAGTGCCACCTCTTCGTTGGGCATGTTCCCCTGATTCTAAATCTCAAATTTCTGGGAGAAACATTCTCGCTCTGGAGGTATCCACGGTTAAATTTTTTTGAAAAACGTATGTATCAGGAGAACTGATGGAGGCGGGGCCTTGTAGTACCACCTCCTCGATGGGCATGTTCTCCTGATACCAAATCCCAAATTTCAGCGAGAAACACATTCTCGTTCTCGAGATATCCTGGCTTGAAAATTTTTCGAAAAACCTTTGTATCAGGAGAAACGATAGAGGCGAGGACTTGACGTGCCACTTCTTCGTTGGCCATTTTCTCCTGATACAAATCAGAAAATTCAGCGAGAAACGCATTCTCGTTCTCGAGTTATCCTCGCTTGGAATTTTTTCGAAAAACCTATGTATCAGGAGAACCGATAGGGGCGAGGCATTGTAGTGCCACCTCTTCGTTGGGCATGTTCTCCTGATACCAAATCTCAAATTTCCGCGAGAAACACATTCTCGTTCTCCAAGTATCTCCCGCTTAAATTTTTTTTAAAAACGCATGTATCAGGAGAACTGATAGAGGCGGGGCGTTGTAGAGCCACCTCCTCGATGGGCATGTTCTCCTGATACCAAACCCCAAATTTCAGCGAGAAACACATTCTCGTTCTTGAGATATCCTCGGTTGAAATTTTTTCGAAAAACCTATGTATCAAGGGAACCGATAGGGGCGGCGCCTTGTAGTGCCAACCCTTCGTTGGCCATGTTCCCCTGATACCAAATCCCAAATTTCAGCGAGAAACACATTCTGGTTCTCCAGATATCCTCGCTTGAAATTTTTTCGAAAAACGTATGTATCAGGGGAACCGATAGGGGCGGCGCCTTGTAGTGCCACCCCTTCGTTGGGCACGTTCCCCTGATTCCAAATCTCAAATTTCAGCGAGAAACACATTCTCGTTCTCGAGATATCCTGGTTTGAAAATTTTTCGAAAAACCTTTGTATCAGGAGAAACGAGAGAGGCGAGGACTTGACGTGCCACCTCTTCGTTGGCCATGTTCTCCTGATACCAAATCCCAAATTTCAGCGAGAAACACATTCTCGTTCTCGAGATATCCTCGCTTGGAACTTTTTCGAAAAACCTATGTATCAGGAGAAACCATAGAGGCGAGGCCTTGTCGTGCCACCTCTTCGTTGGGCATATACTCCTGACACAAATCAGAAAATTCAGCGAGAAACGCATTCTCGTCCTCGAGTTCTCCTCGCTTGGAACTTTTTCGAAAAACGTATGTATCAGGAGAAACGATAGAGGCGAGGCCTTGTCGTGCCACCTCTTCGTTGGGCATGTTCTCCTGATACAAATCAGAGAATTCAGCGAGAAACGCATTCTCGTTCTCGAGTTATCCTCGCTTGGAATTTTTTCGAAAAACCTATGTATCAGGAGAACCGATGGGCCCGAGGCCTTGTAGTGCCACCTCTTCGATGGTCATGTTCTGCTAATACAGAATCCCAAATTTCAGCGACAAACACATTCTCGTTCTCGAGTTATCCTCACTTGGAATTTTTTCGAAATACCTATGAATCAGGAGAACAGATAGGGGTGAGGCCTTGAAGTGCCACCTCTTCGTTGAGCATTTTCCCCTGATTCCAAATCCCAAATTTCAGAGAGAAACATATCCTCGTTCTCGAGATATCCTCGCTTGGAATTTTTTCGAAAAACCTATGTATCAGGAGAACCGATAGGGGCGAGGCCTTGTAGTGCCACCTCTTCGNATGGGCATGTTCTCCTGATACCAAATCCCAAATTTCAGCGAGAAACAAATTCTGGTTCTCCAGATATCCTCGCTAGAAATTTTTTCGAAAAACCTGTGTATCAGGGGAACCGATAGGGGCGGCGCCTTGTAGTGCCACCTCTTCGTTGGGCATGTTCCCCTGATTCCAAATCTCAAATTTCAGCGGGAAACACATTCTCGTTCTCGAGGTATCCCCGCTTAAATTTTTTTGAGAAACGTATGTATCAGGAGAACTGATGGAGGCGGCGCCTTGTAGTGCCACCTCCTCGATGGGCATGTCCTCCTGATACCAAATCCCAAATTTCAGCGAGAAACACATTCTCCTTCTCGAGATATCCTCGCTTGCAAATTTTTCGAAAAACCTATGTATCAGGAGAAACGATAGAGGCGAGGACTTGTCGTGCCACCTCTTCGTTGGGCATATGCTCCTGACACAAATCAGAAAATTCAGCGAGAAACGCATTCTCGTTCTCGAGTTCTCCTCGCTTGGAACTTTTTCGAAAAACGTATGTATCAGGGGAACCGATAGGGGCGGCGCCTTGTGGTGCCACCCCTTCGTTGGGCATATTCCCCTGATTCCAAATCTCAAATTTCAGCGAGAAACTCATTCTCGTTCTCGAGATATCCTCGCTTGGAGTTTTTTCGAAAAACCTATGTATCAGGAGAACCGATAGGGGCGAGGCCTTGTAGTGCCACCTCTTCGATGGGCATGTTCTCCTGATACCAAATCCCAAATTTCAGCGAGAAACACATTCTCGTTCTCGAGATATCCTCGCTTGCAAATTTTTCGAAAAACCTATGTATCATGAGAAACGATAGAGGCGAGACCTTGTCGTGCCACCTCTTCCTTGGGCATGTTCTTCTGATACAACATCCGAAAATTCAGCGAGAAACGCATTCTGGCTCTCGAGATATCCTCGCTTGAAATTTTTTCGAAAAACCTATGTATCAGGAGAACCGGTGGAGACGAGGCCGTGTAGTGCCACCTCTTCGATGGGCATGTTCTCCTGATACCAAATCCCAAATTTTAGCGAGAAACACTTTCTCATTCTCGAGTTATTCCCGCTTGAAATTTTTTCGAAAAACCTATGTACCAGGAGAAACGATAGAGGCGAGGCCTTGTCGTGCCACCTCTTGGATGGGCATGCGTTCCTGATACAAAAATTCCGAAAATTCAGCGAGAAACATATTCTGGCTCTCGCGATATTCACGCTTGAAAGTTTTTCGAAAACCCTATGTATCATAGAACTGATAGAGGCGAGGCCTTGTAGTTCCATCTATTCGGTGGGCATGTTCTCCTGATACCGAATCCCAAATTTCAGCGAGAAACTCTTTCTTGTTCTCGAGATATCCTCGCTTGAAATTTTTTCGAAAAGCTATGCATCAGGAGAACCGCTGTAGGCGTGATTTTGTCGTGCCACTTCTTCGATGGTCATGTTCTCCTGATACGAAATCCGAAATTACACCGAGAAACACATTCTGGCTCTCTAGATATTCACTCCTGAAGTTTTTTCGAAAAACCTATGTATCATAAGAACCGATTTAGTCTTGTTGTGCCACCTCTTCGATTGTCATGTGCTTCTGATACAAAATCCGAAATTTCAGCGAGAAACAAATTCTTGTTCTCGAGATATTCACGCTTGAAATTTTTTCGAAAAACCTTTGTATCAGGAGAAACGATAGAGGCGAGGACTTGACGTGCCACCTCTTCGTTGGCCATTTTCTCCTGATACAAATCAGAAAATTCAGCGAGAAACGCATTCTCGTTCTCGAGTTATCCTCGCTTGGAATTTTTTGAAAAACCTATCTAACAGGAGAACCGATAGAGGCGAGGCCTCGTCGTGCCACTTCTTCGATGGGCATGTACTCCTGATACAAATCCGAAATTGCAGCGAGGAACACATTCTGGCTCTCTAGATATTCACGCCTGAAGTTTTTTCGAAAAACCTATGTATCAGGAGAACCGTGTGGCCTTATCGTGCCACCTCTTCGATGGTCATATGCTCCTGATACAAAATTTGAAATTTCTGCGAGATGTACCTTCTGGCTCTCGGGATATTCGCGCTTGAATATCTTTTAAAAAACATAAGTATCAGGGGAACCGCTCGACGGATGGCTCTGTCGTGTCACCTCTTCGAGAGTCATGTTCTCCGGGTACACATGGGTTTTAAAAAGTCTTGAAGATAGTATCTCGAGAAGTAGGTTGTAGTCTTCGATGGAAGTTTGTAATTTGTCAATAATTTACTTAATAACTAATTATTCTTACAGTCAAGTTTACTCAATCAAATGATAGAGTTTTTAACAAATTGAACTGTAGATTGTGTAGTTCTTAGCTTGGTATCATTTTTCAATGTTTATTGTTTGGAAGATGATATCAATTACCAGGTCTCACCACGAGGAGGTGACTACACTCGAGACCCGCCCTGAGTACCAATCCCGTCCACTTTCCGTTACACGCTTTGCTTTTTATATTGCTTAAAGAGTGCCGTGTACTTATTATACTTTTCCTTGTTACGTAATGTGGTGACAGACGTTCCATAGCAATTACATTTATATTCAATTTCAAATTGTCATGATCAGGTATTAACACATTCTTATACCTCGTTTGGAGTAATGTACTGTCCGTATAGGTTAAGATTAGTCTGACTTTTCGGGCGTCAGTGATGTGGAGCAATTGATAATTTTTCGAAAAACTATTATACCAATCAACAATTTAATAATATTTATATTTTTATCGCAAGATTACACTTCTACTTATTTATTACAGTGTTAAATAATAATTTGTTAAACTTTTTACCGGTTCAAAATTATACTAATTCATAATACTAATTTTTAAGTTACAGCTGCATTGATATACATTAGATAAAAATTTATTTGGAGAAAATTTATAGAATCAAAAATCAGGTTATGTAGTTATTGTCGCCTTTGTATAATCGCGCAGTATATAGAAAGTTTTGCTTGTTTATTGTTTTAGAGAGCAAGAAATATGTTTATTATTTATCTGTCTTTTTTCTTTATTCTAAATAAAATAATTTAATTTTTATAAATACATTATTCAAACTATGAAATAATGCGTAAAAGTACAAAGGAATTCAATCACTGAACAGTTGTTGTATGTAAACAGTTAAAATTGTTAAATAATATTCGGAAATGCATTATTTCATAGGTTGAATAATTCATTTAAAACTTATTAAATTATTTTTATAATATTTTTAAACATTACTTAATAATTTTCACAATTTATCTGTTACGATTGAATTAACAAATAATTCACGTCATTTGTCTTAAATAAATTGTTCAAGTCGATTGTTATAAATTATTGCTAAAAAATTGGTTGCGCTGTAATAGTGTACCTGTGCCTATATCGATATGGTAGAATGTGACATAAAAATGATACGGGGGTCAAGTGATTCTCAAAATACAAAACACGATAAATTGAATATTCGGACATCCAAACTCGTCTGTGATATCTGGTCTAGTTGCTCAGTGATTTTATTTAACAAATTTCTACTATTTGATAATAATCGTATAACTCGTCTGTTATATAGTTCTCCAATTCACCGTTGTTTAAGAGTAGAGTGCGCTAAAAAACCAGTGATTTTTTTTTTCCTAGTCGATATTTCAGAGCCTGAGACACCAAATCCCATTTAATGTCCAATCTATGCTGTTTCTGGTCAATGATCGTACGAGGTTTTGCTACAAACTTCACCGATGGCTGACGGGTTGCGGCATGTAGGCGTCATACTAATTCCTACACGTTAAATACATTGTACATTTCAGTTTATAATGAAGCGCGTTTCGATCAGTATAGAAGAACAACACAAACGGGAATCAATCATTTATTTATTTATTTATCAATGGAAATAATGAAATCGGTATCTAGCATAATTATTTATTCATATTCAATTAGATATTTTATTGCATTAGTTAGCAATATCAACAGTTGGTTACACACTTCTTATTCGCTCACTTTTCTTCTCTGTATCTCTCATTTCCACAATTTGTTCGCTTCTCTCTCTCTCTCTCTCTCTCTCTCTCTGTCTCTCTCTCTCCCCTTCTCTGACTTTATCAAATAATGATACACGCACACACGTAATTATGTACGTGTAACGAAATTACCAGCTAGAAATAACAAACGGTACAATGACTTAATGATTAATTACGATTTAATTGACAATCGTTTTGGCATAGTATAAAATATCACCATCATCCTCCTCTCAGATGTACAAGATTAACGATTTCGTATTAACAAGTGAACGAGTTCAACCGATCGCAAACCACGTTCAAATTGACCTCTCAACGGATCCGGTTTCCGGTTTCATCAACAATATTTCGCTAATTAATTTTACTAGAAAATGTCACATCTGAATGCTATTTAGTTTCGTGCTGATCGATCGCTTCGATTGTTAATTAAAACTTCTTAAGGCACTATAGAAAATGCGTTGTTACCGCCATTTTTACATAATGATTTACATACATCGTCGCGCGACATCCATTTCAAAGATTTACGTTCACAGATTTGTATATTTAATCATTCACTTATACAATATCGAATACAATATCAATTTTCATCATTTATTCATTATTTCGATTGCGACGAACTATCTCATTCGATACTCGCGTTGATTGCATTACGCAAATTAATATTCGCAAATGTAATTTCGACTGATTAGTAAAACGAGAAAGAAAAAAAGAGAGAGAGAAAAAAAAAAAGGAACGAGAGTTCGTTGCATTCGTACAGGAAAGTACGGGACGAGCACGGATGCTTTAAATAACTGCGAAGATAATAATCATTCGTAACGACGACGACGACGACAATAGTAATAATACTAATAATAAAATAAAATAAAATAATGTGGATAATTACTAATATTAAGCTTAAATAATTTGTTATTTATGAGTTTGATAAAGGCACGAAGACGTTACATAATTATACATATATACTATTAATTGTGTCGTCTTCCGACGTCCTGGAGTTCCTACGTCGCTGCAGGTCTTCGCGTTCAAGTCCCCAATAGTCTCGCTTCGATCTTAATTTTAATTTTTTTTTTTTTTTTTCGGCCGGTAACCAGATTGGGGATAAAGACCTCATCTGCTGTTGAATGTTCGTTCATCCTGTATATAAAGTTCCAAACATATGTTCTTACAAGCCGCAAGTAGCTGTGTAGCTAACTAAAAGGATTGATGGGGATCACGCCAGGTTAAGCACGCAACGTGCAAGACCGGTCCTAGGATGGGTGACCGTTCTATATCCAGTCTTGAAAAGCGTGTCTGAGGCAGAGGTCGCTGCCATCAGCTCTTCCTTTTTTACCATCTTTACCTATCCTACCTTACCGACACGATCCCACTCTTTCTCGTTTCCACGAGTGCAGCGTCCGGAAAAAAAAAAAAGTTTCCCGCCTTTCGCTATAGAAACCACCTTGGGACGTGACATTAATAATCGTAATGTTAATAGCAGCCGTGATTCTCCTAATTTATAATATATCTATATTATACGTGCCTATGTACAAAAAATATTGGCATCGATCGTTGTTTAAGGCGTTTATAAAATGTTAAATTAAACGTCCTGTGTGTGTGTGTCTGTGTGTGTGTGTGTGTGTGTGTATATATATATATATATATATATATATACACACAGAGAGTGTTCATAAAGTCTCTTTACAATTTCAAAAATTTATTACGAAGGCAAATGAAAAGACAGATAAATGGAAATGATTACAAAATGAGACGTATATATTTAAGTTTTTTTTCTTTTTTGCCTCACTTATTATTAAAACACCACCATTAGTTACACGAAGCATATCAAGACGGTACTCGATTTCTTGCCATTTTCGCTGTAGCATACCCTCATCTTCATGATGTGCCCATATAGAGGTGTATTAAGCGAGGCTATCAAAAGAAACTTAAATATATACGTCTCATTTTGTAATAATTTTCACTTATCTGTCTTTTCATTTGCCTTGGTAATAAATTTTTGAAATTATAAAGAGACTTTATGGACACCCTGTATATATATATACAAATATACACGTTTAATTTAACATTTTATGTTAAATTAAACGTATTATTATGTTTTATATTTTACACACACACACGCACGCACACACACACGCACGCACACACACACGCACACACACACACACACAAACACGTAATCAGTAAATAAAACTCTCTTTGTAACACAGATTGCACGTTTTACTGTGTTGTCTCGAACCTGTTGACCATGTAAAATGGTTGCAGCCTCCTGTGTGCATGCTCTATCGGAAAAAATGCCATATCAAAAGTGTTGAAAGTGTATGCACGCCTACCAGCTGCCACGGCTACACGCGAAACCGCTACCCGTGTTTTCTTCTCGTCTTTCATTGGCAATCGGATCACCGCTCGTTTTCCGCAAGCTTGCCCAAACGGACACCTCAGACGCTTCGACTAGATCATAAAGAAATGCACAAGAACGACAAATCCGTGACCAGCGCGTCACGATGTACACGTGAAGTGAAATTTATGGGCGAGAAAGAATTCGGGAAGACTAAATAAGCAAATTTTTCAAAGGAAAATTATATGAACGTCCATGTGAAATATAGATTTAAACCGCTTGACGTCGGAACTCTTTATACTTCGTGAAATTTCTCAACGAGAAACCTTCGCCCGAACGATGAACCATTGCGAAACAAAACGAAATGTTACAAGACTGATTGTAAACGTGTTTTCTTTTCTTTTCTTTTCTTTTCTTTTCTTCACATTTTGTTTCATATCCTTGCGTAATATAAATAAGTTCCTTCTGTCGGGCAAAATTGAATCGAACTAGCGAGAACTGTACATTGTTGTAAAGTTTTTGTAAATACTCGTTCCTCCCTCTATTTCTCTTATTATCATTTTCTATTCGTTCGCCAATGCTCTATCTTTTATATAATCACTTTCGTCGGTTGACACATGTCCATAAAAAATTGACGCACGCCTGCACACTCATTCGACAACACACACGCACACGCACACCCGCATGCTTAAAGATGACGATTACGCTCAGTTTTATCCGTATCTAAAAGTACATTCTTATCAAACTTCGATTTTCGAAATTCTCTGTATCACAGACAAAGAATTTGCATCGAGATTTACTATTTAGATCTCGTGTTAACGATAATATGGAGTTCACTTTCTCTCTCTCTCTCTCTCTCTCTCTCTCTCTCTCTCTCTCTCTCTCTCTCTCTCTCTCTCTCTCTCTCTCTCGCTACCGAATAACAATAAATACGCTTATAAGTTACAAAAAGAAAAGCCGTTTTGATGAGATTACAGGCCGCTTCGATTAAGTTAACGCATTCGATTAATATTTAACAATAACAATCGCGATTAGTGAATGTAGTATTAATAATAGAGGTAAATATTTCATAAAATAATAGAGAAATTATTTATACTATGAAAAATATTAATAGAAACATTAATAATAGTAATAACGATGATGATGGTGATGATAATAATAATAATAATAATAATAATAATTATAATAATGATGATGACAATGATAATGATGAAAGTTGTAACAAAGACAAATTTTCAATGACGATGAACATAATGAATTCGAAACACGATGAAGATGAATGACGACACAATAGTGAACACGAAATTGATGAAGATGAATAATGATCCATAATATTAATGACGTTAATATAGATGTTAATATTAATAATAATATTAAAGTAGTAATAAGTTTAATGGAGTTATTAGAGTGTGAGATATAAACTTTAGCGTTGTTTCCGCGCTAAAATGACAACTGATGCCACCATCGGAGGTTCTTCAGTCTTCTTTGGTTGTTGGGTAACTTGGTGAGGTTGGTGGGTAGGGGCTCTGTATTTACTGCCACGACTTTCAACTTTCCCCAGAAGTCAACTTCCGTTTAGAAAAAAAAAAGGAGAGAAAAAGGAAAAAAAAAATCGAACCTAGGTAGCGAAGCGAGGACTTGTCGAATGCTTGATTATAAAAATAATAATAAGAATAACTCTCTCGAGGAGTCAAAGCAGCAGCAAAGCCGGTAATAACGAGCATCCTGCCAAAGGTCGGATCAGGTTAGATGTGAGACAAAGCCTAAAACATTAGAGAAAGGACATCCTAAGCTCAAAAGTGCAAAAAAAGAACGTGAATCAACGATTAAGCATGTCAATTTGGTGAATTAGACATTAAAGAGTTAGAGTTAGAGAACGGAGGTATCATAAAAAAAAAAAATTGAAAATACAGTATTAAGAAGTCGGAGGAAAAGATCATATCAAATCAAAGTGTTATTCACTTTGAAAGAACGTTAGAATTAACAGGGAAACTAAATGGCAAGGAATTTATGATAGACAGGATGGAAAAGAGATGAAACTCGAAATTAAAATCCAAAAAAAAAAAAAAATAAATAAATAAATAAATAATGATCTCTCCCGGTTCATTTTGTCTCTCTGTTTCGCTTCTTCTAATTTCTGTCTTCCACTATGTAATATACATACACATATGTACATATATATACGAATGTAGATGCATACATTGTATATGTATGTATCGCTCGACGATGGAGAGAAGTTGGCTTCCGGTCCGTTGATCCGTTGATGAGAGCCAATTGATTAATAAATGTCTGGTTGTGGGTGCTGCAAGGGACTCCATAGCGAATCACCAGGCAAGCGACGAGAATGTAAGAATAGTGTCTGATGAGAATCACGATCCATGTTCCTTCCTCTCTTGCCATACTCGCCGTTATTACGGCTTCCTGCGATGACTACCGATCATCCAACCAGCGAATCTTTCTGTGTTACTGATCACTAACTTCCGGCTGCTATTTATCGTTCTCAGACACGAAACACAGCACCAATCGTTTCCTCAGAGATTCTTCTTCTTTTTTCGATTATTGCTGATTATCGCGTCAAGCATTCTCTCTCGAAACACTTCTTCAGGATGATTATTCAATGATAAAGTCTGGAAAATCATAATCATAAGAAGTATCTCTGTGCTCCTTTTGTTTCACCTAGATGGCGCCTCGTTTAATCTCGTAAATTGAATAGTCGGGTCTCGCTCGCCTAATAACAATTCCGTCCACATTTTTCATTCTACATCATTTTCGTTTACGGCTTATCGATATTTCAAACGATATTTCTGCTCTGGCAGAATGCAGAAACCATCTGTCTGAATTCCCTTGATGGCGTGTTTCGTCATTCGAACGTACACACGTGTCTCTCTATTAATATCGGAATTCACTCCCGTTACATTCTCGCAGCTTCCTGGTTGCTTTGGAGTCGCTTTGAAACAGTCGAATATGTAGTCGATGATAACGACGACTACGGCATGGCGGAGGGGAACAAGGTCCAGAAACGTTACCGTGGACCGTATTGTCCGAAAGGAAGCTCGGCAACAGCAACTACTCAGCTAAGTTCGCGCGGCGTCACGGAATGCCGAGCCGAATGATGATGATTGTTCCGATGATGACGCCTCGCCCGACGACACTGGACCGTGCAACAGTCGTCGCTGTTCACCACGTATTCACCACGTTTCATTTGGTGGGCAATTGTGTTGCACAGCGCCCGTGGACATCGTTTCCTGTCGCACCTGACCTCGCCGTTCTGCAAACACGTTCAGACACAAAAATCCGCTTTAGTATTTTTCAACAATTTCAATCCGCGCGTTGCGTTTCATTATTTTCATAAATTTCTGTATATTACTAAATAAATAAAATAATATTATTTTATTTATATTGTATTATATTGTTGTAAATATTATTATTTTATTTATATTATAAATATAATATTGTTGTAAATATTATTATTTTATTTATATTATAAATATTATAATATTGTTGTAAATATTATTATTTTATTTATATTATAAATATTATAATATTGTTGTAAATATTATTTTATTTATATTATAAATATTATAATATTGTTGTAAATATTATTTTATTTATACTATAAATATTATAATATTGTTGTAAATATTATTTTATTTATACTATAAATATTATAATATTGTTGTAAATATTATTTTATTTATACTATAAATATTATAATATTGTTGTAAATATTATTTTATTTATACTATAAATATTATAATATTGTTGTAAATATTATTTTATTTATACTATAAATATTATAATATTGTTGTAAATATTATTTTATTTATATTATAAATATTATTAAATACATTAAACAAAATAATTTAAAATACATTTTACAAACAAACAAATTTAAACAAATAAATATATTTATTATATTTATTATAATTATAAATATATTAAATATAATTATATATTTAATAAATATATTTCATATTTAAATATATTATAATAATAAATATATTTATAATATTTATTATATACATTATAATTATAAATATATTTATATTTATTATAATTTACAAACAGACAAATTTAAAATATATTATTAAATAAATAATCTTTCTGTCACGTTACGTTTTTGTATCAAGAATGTGTTGTTTTGTAGGAGGCCATACCTTACGATAGTAGTATGGCAAAAAACCTAAAATTTACCAAGAAAGTTATTTGTAGTAATTAACTTTCTAACAATTGTTCTACCTACTAGTGAAATTCTATATTTGCGCCTGTGCAATTTTCAAATTTCAATTTAATATTGTTAAAAATTCTAAACTAGCGAACTGTTAATTATAGAAAAAGGGAATGGTGTAATTGAAATGGCATAGTGGAGGAATAGAACGATAGGATTTGAAGTTACCTTGCAGATGATCTCGCGATCTCACGAGAGAGAGAGAGAGAGAGAGAGATAGAGAGAGAGAGATAGAGAGAGAGAAGCACAATACTTTTTTCTCCGTGTCAGCACGCGCGATCCGTGGCCGCGTTCCATTTTCATCGTAATGGATGGACCCTTTTAATGGCCGACCCAGACGAACGAGTCTGGTTTAAAGGTTTTATCCTTAAAGGTCTCCGGTTCTGACCGTGTCTGGATATCACAACGGGGCTACCGCCAAACAACTTCTAACGTGCCGTACACACCGTGAGGGTCGTACGAGCGAAAGTAAAGCAAATCGCGAGTCGTGTTTTCGACAAGACCTTCGCATGAATACATAATGAAGTACGTTCGCCCATGAGAATTTCTTTCCCCTTACTGAAAAGCTGTTCATTGAACAGCGTCGAGAATCTTTCAACAAATTATAAATTGAATACTTCCAACTTAAGTTCCTTTTAATTCTCAAAATTGAAAAACGTGAAATTATAATTCATATTACGTGTGAAATTTTTATTATGAAACAACGTAGTGCGAGAAACACTATCTCTCCGTTCCTCTTGATTCTTTTTTTTTCTTTTATTTCTTTTTCTTTTATTCCATAGGAAGCAATAGCAATTACTGAGACTGTTAATCAAGTCGATTCCGTAGCTCTGGGGTGTTTGAAGTTAACTGATTGCGGACCATAACGAGTGACCAAACCGTGTACAATAATTCGTCGCTTTCTTTTCGAATTCGTAGATATGTTATCGTACTGGATAGAAATATTATTATTGTACAGTAATAAATTTATTGTTATTTATGTTTCGTCTGGATATTATACTTAAATACACTTAAAACTGAGGGAATATTGCGATTTTGGGACAAAAAGATTCTCGACCGGCGTAACACGTCGAGAGGTTAACGACTCTTAATTCGTACAGCAAACTCTCAAGAAACGTCCAATGTTTAATATCAGCCTGCGAATGAATCATAAAAATAGTAGTCGCTTTTTTTTGTGACTGAAGCTCGTGACTGAGAAAGGTGCAAACGACCATTAGGTAGGTGCAAACTACCATTACCATCTTGCTACCTTTAGCAAGATAAGTATCGTTAGTCTTAAAATCTTCTACAACCTTGAACGACCTTTATTCCTTGTAGAACATGTCTGGACAAGTGTCGTTGCACCGAGACCAAAGAAGGATACGCGAGACTGCGAAAAAAATCAAGGCGCCCCTGAATTTCTTGTACATACATTTCCATTCGAAAGAAAGTCACTCTGTTTTATGGAAACCGGTTTTCCAGATTATTTAAAAAAAACACCAAGTATTATTTAATTTTTAATCGTACGTTTGTGAAAGGGCAGAGCTCTCATTTGAAATACTACTAAGATACTATTGAACATGTATACAGAAGAGAGAACGATGAAAGCTATATGATGATATTAAGAAAATATTTCTAAATCCTAAAATGCATGCTTAGAAATCTAAACGTTTCAATTGAAAGTAAATAAGTCGGAAAACTGTATCCATTCGATACATTTCGACAATGGCAAGGTGGTAAAGTTGTGTCTTCTCGATCAGGGCAGACCAGCAGCTTCAAGTGCGAGTGGAATGCGGCTGATGAGAGGGTAAGAGCGATCCGTTTAAACCGGAAATTGTCGCACTTGCCGAGTAAAGTACCGTGACGATCCTGCGTTCTCAACACCACACGTCTAACAAGAGTCATTTACATCTATATAATGTCAAAAGAAAATCCATAATTACTAATTGAACTCTGCAACGATGTTCGATATTTTTTCGTCGCCAATGGCGGACAGGCCCAACAAGTTTCCCAACACATAAGCTTATAACGTATATATGTAAGAAGCATCACATGTTCATTCAGTTGCATCTGGTTAGAACTCGTTGTGTGGCGTTAGTATTCCTCGTGGTTCGCGTAACGGACAAATTACGAATCGTATTTTATTTTCTTACAGCTTCGCCAAATTGCACACGTACGGGTTATCAATTTTCTTGCGACCACAAAGTGCATCGGTACACCGACGATTGCGACTGATTTCTGGGTAAATTCATAAATCAAGAAATTACAGCATTGCATGTCGACCGTGAGACTCGTTGAAATTTTCTTGCTTGCTATTCACACGTTTCGTTAATTCACGAATTCGCAAAATTAATTCTCAGGCAATTCTAATAATCTATCAACTCCATCTCTTTCCTTTTTCGAGATATGTAAACTCGTAATTATTTTTACGATCGTTCGCCAAGTGCAATGTAAATTTGCCAGCGCGGCGTCGTGTCATCACCATCTCCCGAAATTCACGCGAGCGTAACCACCGATTGAAAGGATTCGCATTCCGCGCGTGAAATGGTGGCCAATCGGCAACCGCAAAATCGTCACGATCCTTCGGCCGTGGCTTTCACGCACCGACGCAATCTCATCTTCGCCGCACTTATCGCGCGCGAAGCGGAGAAAAAACGATGGTAGATCGACCACGAACAATCTCCAATTGACTTTAGCGGCGTTGCGCGCCAACAGTAATTTGGCCGCGATTATTTCAAACGTCTGATCTCTTGATTTTGGACTCGTAAGAGGCCTGAGATCTTTGAAATACTTCACGGACAAATCGAACACGCGAGCAATTTTTTTAAGAAAACAATCTACTTTGAAGAAATTTTCATTTGCACAGACGCAGGATCTAGACAAGAGTCAATATCATTATTTTTCTCGTTACACTTTTCATTCATGTATATCATCGAATAAATTATCTTGTCACTTGAACTGTGGCTTTGACGAATCATTACAGTGTTTAATCATTAAGTTAGATTAGGATCAGTTAGCAGCGTGAGATGCGAGATGCAGATTATTAATAGCTCTATGCATAATTAGTTGCGCTAGACTAATTTATAAAAATCGTAACGAGCGCTGACTGAAAATATCGGACAAGACAATTATTTATACAAATAACTTCTATCTGTCCGTGCTAAACACATTTCTATACTGTACTACACTCTGAGCAGGTAATGTTTCAAAAATAGCTAATGGAAACTGTATATGTACTTGTATACTTTATATTGATATACTTCACTAACAATTTATATTAATATACTTTTCTAATAAGTTACTTTATTATTTATATTAACATACTCTGCTAATAAATCACTTTATTATTTATATTAATATACTTGGCTAATAAATCACTTTATTATTTACTGATTAATATACTTTGCTAATAAATCACTTTATTAGTTACTTATTAATATACTTTGCTAATAAATTACTTTATTATTTATATTAATATACTCTGCTAAGAAATTACTTTATTATTTATATTAATATACTCTGATAAGAAATTACTTTATTATTTATATTAATATACTCTGCTAAGAAATTACTTTATTATTTATATTAATATACTCTGCTAATAAATCACTTTATTATTTATTTATTAATATACTTTGCTAACAAATTACTTTATTATTTATATTAATATACTCTGCTAACAAATCACTTTATTATTTATATTAATATACTTTGCTAACAAATTACTTTATTATTTATATTAATATACTCTGCTAATAAATCACTTTATTATTTATTTATTACTTTGCTAACAAATTTATATACTTTGCTAACAAATTACTTTATTATTTATATTAATATACTCTGCTAACAAATCACTTTATTATTTATATTAATATACTTTGCTAACAAATCACTTTATTATTTATATTAATATACTCTGCTAACAAATCACTTTATTATTTATATTAATATACTTTGCTAACAAATTACTTTATTATTTATATTAATATACTCTGCTAATAAATCACTCTATTATTTATATTAATATGCTTTGCTAATAAATCACTTTGTTATTTATATTAATATACTTTACTAATCAATTACTTTATATCGATATTTTTTAAACTTCCTGAGAAAAACGGTATCAAATTTGTAGTGATTCTCACCTTGCATCTGCACTTGACGCACTTAATTTCCCCGTGCGAGTGAATTCGTGGATGCCATTCCATACCGTTCTCGTACGGACCACCGAGGGGGTACTTGCAACCGCCGGAAGCCAGTATTTCCTCGGTGGTGCGTTTGATGGATAACGCCGCCTGATCCCGCGGCAAACGCGTCGTATCGCCAGCGATCGTCGGGCTAGGCGTCGTCGCCGGACATTGTTTGCAGCATGCCTTCTTACTGGGTCTAAAGGCGAATTTCTCGTCGCAGTCCAACGGCGGGCACTGTACCCGCGGGCATTTCACCTCCAGCGTGACATGCTGCAAAAGACAAACGGATATCCAAAACTCTATGAACGAAGCCATCATATCTTTTCATAGACAGATCGAAGTATTTTTCCACGACGCTTACAATTTCACCACGATGGTTGGACCGTCTAAGCTGATTCAACAAGAAACGTTAGACACATTATTAGAGACAAGGGAGAGAAAAAGTCGGGCTAGAAAGTCGGAGCGGAGCTCCAGTTTCCTTTCCACGCGTACTACACTACGTCGCGCACGTTCGACTTCCACCGATGCTAATTGAAGCCGAAATAAGTACGAAAAGTACATCGCACGCGATAAGTTCAAGTCGGTCAATCGACGTGTATATCAGCTGCTGATTTGTCAATACGTGTGTATGTACGAAACGCGTTATCTTGCATCTCGGCGTTTCTCCCCATTAACGCGCGACAGAGCTGATCAAGCGCGCTGTTGATCAAGTGACAAGCAACGAATCAAAAGCAACTTATCTCCAGGGTAATGAACATGACTTCTCGTGCAATGTGTCCCCTCGGGCATGGCTTCAAACAATCCTCTAATATCTATTTAGAAAGGCCTGCCACCGATTGTCGATCGCGGCAGGCGTTCGCAACATGCGCAGCTCCTTTTCATGACTCGGCGGAGAGCAACCGCATTCTTCTGTGGCGCAACGAACTCGCGCGAGCGCGCCCCAGTGTCTAGTTGAATTTTTCATTTGCACGGGTGCCTTTTATATGGGTGTTGCTCACGGAGAGAGCGCATTATAATATATACTGATGTATGTGTCGCAGGGGATCGACGCCGATGCTGGAATCGTTACGAAACTCCTCTGTCCGACGAGAGTGAATGTATGGTGGTAACGAGGTAAACAAAGAATCTAGAAAAAGCCGACTGGCGTGGAATTCGAACACCGTGCCTCGTGCGCGATTTAGCGCTCTGTTCCGCGATCATGGGAGGGGAACCATTTGAATTCCAACACGTTTCGAAATTCGACCTAAGGTTGACGAATATTTACAGAAGTGCAGTCAGAAGAGAAACTGGCGCCGACGTGAAAGGGGAAAAGGGAAACATTTGAAATTTGTCTGAATTGAATTTATCGACTGTTGATTCTGCAAAACGTTGAATTGCATACATGCCTTGCTTAAGTGACGAATATGACTTGAAGAATATTTCACAGAGGACAGAATTTTCCTTCTTTCCTCAGTTGTTTCTTAATTTAAAACAAAAAGAATACGGCCAATTAACGCCTTGCGCTGGCAACTAATTGCGGACCGTAACGAGTGACCGAACCGTACACAACAATTCGTCGCTTTCTTTTCGAACTCGCCGCCGGTATGATATATCACTGGATGGAAATTATTGAAGAGTAATAAATTTACTATTTGGTTTTCCTTACATTTGTTTTACTTAATTATACTTAAAACTGAGGTGATATTGCAATTTTGGAACGAAAAGTTCTCGACGTGCGTGGCACGTCATTCGAGCGCAAGAGGTTAAATAGGATACTACTCCGTGTCAATAATTTTTAATGGTCGATTAAATTCATCACGAGGAAGAAAAAGAGAAGAATAGATAAAGCAGTATGATAAACTTACGTCGCACGTGCAAATTGTACAAGTATCAAATCCCATTGGGGGCAAATATGGATGCCACGATGCTCCCGGTAAATGAAACTGGCCAGCCAGCGTGCAACTTCTTGTCACTGTGCTGATATTCTTTCCAGTTGCGTTCATGTTAATTCCTGGAGCTATGCAAACGAATAACATTCCGTTATTCTTAATCAAAATCGTTATTAATCAACGTGTTGTATTTGACATAACAGGTATAGAACTATCTAGGAAACAATCTTCCACAAAATTGACATACAATCAAACCTCGATAATTCGATCGAAAATTTTCTTCATTTCTTTCCGCTCCGCTGTGCAAAGAGATGCAAATTGATTTTGACTCGTGTTTCTGCAATTCGAGTTCAAACAAAATCCGAAAATCTCTATAAATCGAAGTTTACTTTTACGTATGAATCAAACTTCTATCACTTCTATTACCTCCACAAATTTGTCATCTCTACAATGTACCAACCGTGTCGATCTAATACAAATTACAAACAGTTAGGCTCACTGATTTGATCATTAACATGAATACTTAATCAAATGGACATTTAAGTGTCTTCCTTTAAGCTTCCATACATACAACAGTCGTAACGAAGCAGCTACAAGTTGAATTTCGTTTGAACCTCTTTTACTTGAAAATTTAATAAAACGAAATTCCGTATAACTCGGAGATATTTTTATCGACTTATCGAGGCTCGATTGTACAAAACAAGCTGAAATACCGAAGCGAACGCTATATACCAGCGACTTTAACCCCTTTCGCTGGCAACTTCGATTCACGGACCATAACGAGTGACCGAAGCGTGTACAATAATTCGTCGCTTTATTTTTCCTTTGAACTCGTCGATATTATATCACTGGATAGAAATTATTAAGAAGTAATAGGACCTATCGTCCGTTTCGCCTGGATTACATTTAAATATACATAAAACGGGAAAGAGAAAATGTTGCAATTTGGGACAAAAAAAAATGTGGCACGTCATTCCAGCGCAATAGGTTAAGAAACAAATAAGCGCAACAGATAATGAAACCGGATGAACCGAGCGTTGCAGCCAATTTAATTAGATACAGCAGAACGTCGATGTACCGATCGGATCGAAGAAAATGACGGATTGCTTTAATTCGATTCGGCTAGAAGGGGGATTGGTTTTTCTCGACCGGTAGCAACCGGACTGATACGTCTCTATCGAGATACGTCAAATGATGGCAAAGCTTTCAATTTGTTTGATCGATCAATCGTGCTGTGAAGCTGGAGGAACATTTAAACCGGCTTAATTTATCCTGCAACCGTCTGGTATGGTAATTCCACTTATTCGGTCAATGACGGAATTAATGACGAAACAAGTTTGACTAATAAGATTTTATCTCTTGAACTGATGTGGCTGCAGCGTAACTGATAAATTGATCTTGGTGAAAATATGAATATCCCCCCCCCCCCCCCGAGGCATTTGACATTCCATTTTTAAGTTTTACGCTTTAGAATCAGATCACCGATAAACGAGCAAATAAAGAATTCATCAACAAGGAATTTAGCTTGTAATTAATCTTGCATTATGATTAAGATCATCGAAGCCTTATTTTAGCTAATGATCTAGCTAAAAAAATGAGAAATGTATAAAAGAAAATACAATATATTGTCTGCCTAAATTCTAAGCAATTACAAGCCCGCCATTTTGCTAGTAATGTGCTAAATAAAATAGCATTGAAGTACCATGCTTGTCAACAAAATCAAAACCATTATTGTAATTGTAATTTATAACTACTTTAATCCTAATTAAATTAATCGATCGCAAATCGACGAAGGAAAACAAATAAAAAAACTTTGACGTTCGAGTCTCAACGCGCTGCGAAATAAGTTTGTCTTACATCGTGATCGAGAAGCGATTTAAAAAGGATCGTGATTAACTATGACTGATTCTGTCTTCGTGGAACGTATCTTGGTTAATCGGATTGAATTCCTTTGATTCCTTTAGGTGTTTATCGAAGTGACACCGTCGAGAAGGAAAGATAATTAATCCACGTGTTTATCACGTGCTATTCGCGATTATAGGAATTCTGGTCTAATTCTGGTAATTCAAAAAGATGAAGACTCAATTACAATTCCAAATAAGCATTTAAAAATAATTAACAGAGAGTCAGGTTATATTATGTAAAGAAATCTCTAGAGACGCGACAAGGTCTATGATCAAGTTCTATGATTTATTGCCTTTATTTTAGGGAATCTTTTCAAGACCAAGCTTTCTTCTTCTCAGCAATTCAAACATGGTTCTTCTTGTGTTTAAACTTCAGCCCAGTACTTCTATTATACATATAATATATATCTGTATATATATATATATATGTATACCTAAATATTATATATACATAGATAATATCTATTTGTATTATATTATAATATATATCTGTATGTATATACCTAAATATATATATATATATATAGATAATATCTATTATAGACTTAAAATTTGAATACATATACCTAATAATAGAAAATTAGGAAAAAAAGAAAGAAACTGAAAATGAAAACAACATACTCGAACAAAGAGGACAACAGTGACCAGGAGGAGGCTTCAATTGCTTGCCCTCGGCGCAGGTGAGAACTGGACAGGGTACTGGATCGCACTGTGACAGTCCACGGTAACAGTGACACATGTAGCACGGATCTGTGCTGGACGTCCATTGAGTTCCCTCTTCGTAGAATCTTGTCTCGTGGAAACACGCGCCGGTTTCAATGTCCGACTTGGGTGGCTGAAGATTGTAGGCGACAACCGAGGCAACGTCGTTATCCGCGTAATGAGGAAGACAGTTGAGCGGCGCCCTGGCCTTGAACGGAGCTTTCAAAATCCTTTCGGCCTGTTTGTCGGTCACCTCGAGGAAACCAATGCCAGATTCAATTCTGTACAGTTCCACCGGTGATAGACCGGTGACGGAACCTTCCAAAATGTACCCAGTGAACTCTTCCAGTAATCTTCTAGCAACAGGTGCTCCTTGAACCACTAGGGGCATCGTTTCCAGATAAAGTCGAAAGGTGCGTGGTTCGTGGCTGTTCGTGGAAGACGTCTGAGGGAATCCAGCAATTTCAAGCTCGTAATGCAACGAACAGTCTAGATCAATGGCTGTCCAGACTAGACCAACTGGACCAGGGTGTACAGGTTCCTGGGACAGCCTTCTGAGCAAAATAGGCGCAGCAGTGTCTCTGGCGTCAGCCACGGGTCTTTGTAACAGCCGGCCGCGCAACATGGATCCAACGTGCGAGGCAGCAACAACCGCAAGCTCTCCGTTGAACAGAGGTTCGAGGAAACGTGGCCCTGGACGCTCCAACGAGCCATTAGCTAGGCCTTCGAAAAGAGAAGGTGTCAGATCTTCCAACTCGGTACGACGTTTCCCACCTTCGTCCACCAAGGTCACTAAAGGACTCTCTTCCTCCAGACCTATCAGTTGAACACCGTAACGCAGTGAACCGGCACGATCCAAGAACGCCCAAGCTAGGCCAGAGGCTGCCGATGGTGTCTCTGAAAGTAGCAGAGTCTGATACATCTCGCAGTTTGCACGCGGGCCCACTATTCCGGCTAATCGAAGCGCCTGAGGGTCCTTTCTCGACATTATGCTGATCGAGAGTTTCCCTCGCGTCAACAAACGGAGATCCGCTCCGGACAAGGCACTGCGGACCTCCCCGAAGTTTAACTCGTTCGAGGGCTTCTTCACCACGATCTCCTCTCGCAGGACCACGTAGTCCTTCTCCACATGCTCCAACTGGACTATCAGCGGCACTTCAGAGACATCGTTAGGTAGGAAAACGCCGTTGAACACCAAAGACACGTGGATAGATGGCGCTGACGCCGAGGAGGCTGAAACTATGGCGGTGGCTCCTGCACCGGACATCAACGAACGATCCACGCCCATTGTCGGCTCCAACAAAGAGGTGTACTGCTCCGTGGATAAAGTACGATAACGGGACAACTGTCCAGTCAAGGTGGCCGATGGTTCCCATATAAAGGAGACGTGCAAACGCTCCTCGCGCAACAGTTTCCGATAATCGCGGGGAACCCTTCTCCACACGCCGCACAGCTTCCCCGTTGCATTTTGATACACTCCGCCGATCGGATCGATCGCCTGTTCCTCTAGAATGCTTCCTGACCCGTCGATAAACTGTATGCCCCTCGGACGAGGTGTGGACGTTGACAAATAAAATGAATAGTAGAGATTTTTCCGGTGAAACGTGAAACGGCCAGTGGCCAGATAGTTGTAGGCACTGTTGTACATCGAGGTCGGACTTGGTTCATCGCGGCGCAGTACCTGAGACGTTCTGCCGGTTAGAAGCGTCCCAAAATCTAGAAAAGTGCGACGTAAAGTTAGGTAAAGTAAAGCTCAATTGAATCTCAGGGTGAACGAGTGGGTTTCATTACGTTTTAGGCTTCGTTCCTCTTCTTCCGATGACAATTGCGCCGGCAAATCCTGCACTATGTCGCTACCTGCAACATAAAAAAAAAAAAGCGTTTGAGAAGCGTTTTCTTCTTTCTTTGCGATTAAACATCAATCTAATCATTTGTTTTTTTCTTTCTTCTAATCTTTTACTCGAGTCATCTATGCATTATCCATCTAAATTTAGAGTTCGTAAGTGAACGAAACTCTTTTTTCGAAAACTCTTTTCCTCTAGACTCTGAGAAGCAGATTAAGCCTTCGGTTATTTTTTTCAAATGTTTTGGAGGCCCATTGAAAACAATTAGACACGGATATAAACGATCGAATTTGCTCGCAAAGAGTACGAAAATGCCAACGGGGCGTTCAAATTCCAAGAAAATTCCATTTTCTAGTAACGTGAAAGGTACGAAAGTTTATTTTACTGCCTCGTAAAACGATTACGTATGTGCACCGTTCTCCCCCTGGCGAGAAAGTTCTCATTATACACAGGTCATTTTGACGAGCATATGTTGAGACAAACATAAACTACTCTGAAAAAAAAAGAAAAAAAGAACTGAGTCGTAAAGATATTTCAACACTGATCTGAAGAGAAGTTCCGGGTATGTATTTTGTATATATATCGTAGAAAATATTTTCAAATTTCATTTGTAACGAGACTGTCGCAACGATCATCGACAAAATTTGAGTGATTATGTGCAGTTTGGTGAATTTTCTCAATTTCCTCTGTTCAACTGCTTTATTCTAACATGTCTCGCACAGCACGCGCAATTAAATGAAAAAAAAAAAAAAAAAAAATATCTGCAAGTGTTTGAATATTTTTGCCAGACACTATGATGTACACAGAGGAGATGAAGTCTTTCGTATTCTTCTCGCGTAAGGATAATGGACGCGTGGTATATATATATATATAGCTTCGTTCCAAGCCGCGTGTCGCGTCTTTGATCAAGAAATCGAGGGATCTCGTGTGATGACATATCGATTACAAGGCGGCACATTGAGGCTTCAACAGAAAATAAATGATCGATGGAGAAGAAAGGCAGAAGAAGAGAAGGAAAGGCAGCAGAGAGAGAGAGAGAGAGAGAGAGAGAAGAGAGAGGATAAATGCTAATAGAAAGAAAAAGGAGGGAAAAAAAAAAAAAACAAACGTAGAAAAATCCTTCAGCCACGATATGCACGGACCATAAAGAATGTCTGTGGGGTAGGAAAAGAGGCGGCTGGCGCCAACCACCGCTACTTTGAATGTTACTTTTATGGCGCATACCGCGCCAAACCAGCCGCGCGGATACGTTAATTGGAATATGTACAGTACGTGGCAGTGACAGCCACCAATAGCCACGGAATATCACGACACGTTTCACCTTTCTACCCGTTCCGACGTCGTTTCTACGCCTCTTAACCCCTCGATTTACGAACATTCGTTTTCAGAGAATTCTGCAGAGACATCTATCTCTGACTGTGTTGCAGCGATTATTTTCTCTTTTTTTTTTTTTTTTTACGGCACTTTCTTCGAACATTGTTCTTCACGAAAATTAAAATTGCCAAATTGTGCCACACAGCACGTGTGAAAAATATATATATTCGGTATATTCGGTTGCGTGTTTGACGAAGAAATACGCAGGCAAAGGAAGCATAATTATTATAACACGTTGTTATATTTAGACTGGCGTAATTGTAAAGTAAACTGGGATGATGTTGTTGAGCTGCGAAGTCGCCGAAGGTTTTGCATGCAGTACCGCTGGATAGCCATGTGGCTCTTGACGCCACAATTTCTTCTCGTCTTCCCATTACGTTAAGAGTCAAATGAACACGCCAAAAAAATTAATATTCCTAACAATTACGTCTGGCTGATTAACAATGTAAATCATTATGGAAGACGATGAACCAGGAAACCTGCACACGTTAAACCTTGAAGTACAATTTGTTATAAACACTTATTACCGGCGAAGAGAGTTGAGTTCAAATCTTTTACGCGATTAGAAAAGAAAGTTATGACTGATTTAATAGCATTCACGCGAAAATCGATACTGAGCGGCACTTTAATTTGCCTAATTAACCAACTAAATAACCAAATGACGGTGATATAAATCGCAGAAGACGTTCAAAGAAATTTTCAAAAAAAAAAAAAAAAGATACTGTAATGAAAATACAATTTCAAACGATCTACCATAATTGGCTGGGACAGGCGAAATGGACAGGGTCATGTATTGATCCAACGCTAATTACGCGCATGTTTCGACGTCTCGACCCTTCATTGCCCTTCCCGAATGGACGCGGGAGATTCAACGAGTTTCGTCATTATCCAATGAATGGAACGATTGCTTTCGCATCTCCTCGACATCCGGAACACGTTGTCGTTCATCGTCCAAGTCGATGAGAATCGATGTGACAGTCCAATCGACGGGCTCACAGGTCACAGTTTCTTTTCGCGAGGCTTCGCCTTCGTATTGGTGATCGTCGGAGACTTCACCTTCTATCAGCAGGGGGCAACAAGCATGCCAGACAACGACGACGCGAATGACAACGATTACGATGACACTGAACGAGGAGGAGGAAGGCAGACACGGGTTAACGAATTTTTGAGCATTGAAATTTTACACCCGCGACGATAGGCGATACTTTTCGAAAAAAAGAAACAGGGAAATAGATTTTATCAGGCGTCCAGAGAATTTTCTATTCACTTCGTGACGGAACATTGTACACAGCCTACCATTTTAGTGTTGTATCATTTTGAACGTCTCGAGTATTATACTTGCGCTAAAGATTGTTGATTGTGAAACTAGTTAGTTATTTTTTTATTTCCTAGCTATTTTAATATTTTCGATTAATTACTGTTTAATAATTTTTTTCAGACGCGGATATTTCTGTGACACCAGGATAATAATGATACGATTTTTTTAAACGTGCGAAAATATTGTTACACATAACAGGTTAGTTCTTGGACTTTGAGACGACCTTTTCGAATCTGGTTTTTCAAGATACCAGCCATGTCGGATGAATGGAAATGAGAGATCAACTCGAGGAAAAAAGCTGCGAAAAAGGAAACTTGATCTAAACTTTTGAACACTAGGACAAATTTCTTTATACGGACATGCTCTTACATCATTGATTGGTCATTGCAACGCGACGCTGTGCTCGTTTACATTAATCAGGAAAAAAANAAAAAAAAAAAAAAAAAAAAAAAAAAAAACAGAAAAAAAAGAGAAAAAAAAAAAATAGAAAGCCAACTATCGACATTTCTGAAAAATGGCAGGCGAGATACGAAACCGGACAGCAAGGCTTGGCAAAGACAATAAGGAGCGAAAGAATGGGAAAGCGGAGGCAGACAACATCGTTGAAATTAACGATGATGAAGCATATCGGGAGGATAAAAGATGATAAGAGATGAACTGGCAGCCAGTAGCGACGAGAGAGCATTGGTCAGTCTTATTGAAAGAGGAATGGTTCGCAATGATCTTCCCTCTCCTCCCACGCTGCTTCTCCCTCGACCTTCCAACCCTCCCACCGCCAAGCCGCGTCTCCTCTCGTCTATTCTCATTCCTGTGCGCGTTATGCCCGATCATTACGTATGCTAATATTTACATTTAGATTGCACGGCTTAATCGAAGTGACGCCATGCGGTAATATAGCCGGCGCCATGGCGCTAAACCGTGGCGCCCGACCTATCTCTTCTCTCTCTCTTTCTGCTCACCGCCGATCACCAATCTTCCTACTCCTCTTCCTCTCCACACGCCGTTCTCCATTCTCTTTTTCTACTTCTTCTTCTTCTTCTTCTTCTTCTTCTTTTTTTCTCTCTTTCTTTTTTCTCTACCCTTTTTTCTCTCTACCGTTTCTTTATCATCAACTTTTTTCCACTGCTTTTTTCTTTACTAACTGTCCTTCCCGCTACGCCGGTTACGCTTCATTTGGTTTCTCTCACGGGTTGTTGTTTCATTTATCTGCCACATGCGACTGTATCTTTCTCCTCAATTGACGTATCTTTTTTTTTTTTTTTAGTGTACTCGTAGTTTACGTGCTTTTTATTCATTACAGATGTAAAATAACAGCGGGGCAAATGTTGGTAGCGATAATTACATAGTTTAGCAATTGCATTCACTTTCTGCCAGTTCTGTTGCTAGATTTATTATTAGAAATATCGACGTTATTTACGTAAGAAACAAGACAGCGCCTCTTTGACATTTGTGTTTCTTGGTCGTTGTAACATTCGATCGTAAACATCACGGATGTCTAGTCTATGGAAGATACGTTTTCACGGGAACAAGAACCGTGGAATATCGTTCCTGCAATAATAATGTTTCCTGGATAATTGAAAGTTTTTGTGACTCACAAGTAGCTAGCAAACAAATAGCGCTATATTTTACTCGTCGTAGAATTACAAGTTACACGCGAGTTTGACGTTTCTCACGTGCATCTGCGAAAATAACGCCGTAACGTCATCGGAGAAGCTCGCGTGATGAACGACGACAAATTTTTCATTGACGTTGCGAAAGGAGAATAATAAATAATAAAAAGGAAGATGGCAAATGTCGGCGATGCTCGAAATAGAAATGCTCGCGGACAATGACAGCGGAGTGTGTCGACGGTTAATAAATGCGTGCTCGCTAATTGATTCTAAGTAACCAATAAATTGCGCCGGCCGCAATTGTAAAAAGTTGGTTATGGCAAACGTATGCGTGTGGCCGAGGCGTTATCTTTTCGCTGATTGTTTGCTCGTTTTTCCCCGGAGACAGCCTGTCGGCCGGGCCGCGTTATCGAGCTTTTCCTCAAGCTTGTTCAAGAATGGCGGTCTTAATCGACGCTTCTGGCCGATGATAATACGGCCGCGACATATCGCGGAGAAATCGTCGAGCTATCAATGCGCAATAAATTACGATTCTTGAAAGTGATACCTCACTGTGAGAAAAGGTTATCAACGCCATATATATATATATATTTTGAAGAACACCGATGTCGATGTTCCGTACAATAGAATTCGAATTCGGGGGTTATCACTTGTGCGAATGCTGATTGCGGACCGTAACGAGTGACCGAACCGTACGGAATGAATCGTCGCTTTCTTACTGAATCACTGGATAGAAATTATTATTATTATATAGTAATGAATTTATTGTTATATATGTTTTGTCGGGATTATACTCGAAGCTGAGGAAATATTGCAATTTTGGGGCAAAAAAATTCTCGACGTGCGTTCTAGCGCAAGAGGTTAACAGACCGTGAAGATTTATGTTATACCAAGGATAATTTCTATTTTGCAACGTTGTTTCGCTACGAAATTTATACTTGTCGGAGAAAAATATTTAATAAACATGAAAAGAAAAAAATTCATAAACATGAAAAGAAAAAAAGAATTCATAAAAACCAGCAGCAATCTTTTTCATCTGTTTATGCGAACACAGGATTCCTGAGACGTAGACACTTTTTTTATCGAGTGCGAGCACCTTCTTTTTTTTTTTTCCAGCAAAGATCACAAAGTTACATTAGATGCAACATCGATTTCTTCTGCGCGGCTCAATTATCTTACAAATGGTTGGCTTGTGGTAATTACTGCTTTTTCCCGCAGCTTCGCTTGCCTTTTTATAAAGATAATTTTATCATTTACGAAACGCGTTGGTTTTTCATTGAATTATTTACGTCATTTCACTTTTTCGATCCCCTTTTAATGATACGTTCATTCTCATTTATTATTACAAACTTCTTGCACGTGTAGATAGAAAATAACGTACGCTTTACGATGAATAATACTTGTATCGTTATTAATGAGTTACGAAATACTTTGAAAGAGTAATAATAAAATTCTGGTTATGACAAATTTATCGTTCGTTTAATGTCAATACATGGTTAGTGCATTACGAGCCATTATATTTGCAAAAGAATTTTGCTACTTCGTAAGAGTTTCATTCGCAAGAGATTGCTAAATATTCGATCGTTACTTTCAGCTGATTATCGTATCTTCTTCACTTCGTTTGTAATTCTACATGTTTAATTAACGATGATATAAAAATCCACTTTGTTTAATCTACATAAGAATCCATTGAAGGAAGAAAAAAGAAATGCCAACCTATCAAAAATCCCATAATATTCCAGCAAAAGTTACATATACATTCGCACGTGATATTTCACATACTGCAGAGTTTGCCGAATGAAAAAAATAACTACAAGACACATGAATTTGAGTTATAATATACATCAACAATACTTCATTCTTGCAATTTGCGTTTCTCTGTCAAATAATACACAAATTTTCCTATTCTGATTGTGATATTTGTGAGACGAACATGATGCAAGAAGAGCACTGCTAAACAGCGAAATGAGAGTGACACACATTTATGTCATCTATGTATGACTCATAGATCTAATGGTACGATTAGAGAAGCAATTTCTTGGTAAATATTATTTTGAACTGTACCTTTGTTACTTTTCCCATCCACTAAAATACAATTGACGAAGAATAGTAGAGAAACGAATGAAAATTACCATTACCGTTCGAAAATCTCGAGATACGTTTTACTTTTTGACATCCAGTATTTATCATACATAATGAAATTCTTAAATTGCGCGTACAATTGTAAATGTAGCTTCTAGATTGTCTGTCGTATAGAATATTATTTAATATTTCCAATATTTAATGTTTTCAAGTAACATCTGCCCAATCAAAACTTTTGATTTTCACCGATGTTGTATAGATATGTTATGTCGTCGCAGAGAGAAATACTTGAGAACAACAGAACCAAAGATAACGTCGTGGTGAAAGAAAAGAGCGAAAAAACTAGAGCGTAAAAAGAACAAATGATAATGATAAGTTGAAATCTCTTATTTTATAGTACTTGGAAAAAGAAAACACATACGCATCGATCTACTAATCCTTTAATAAAAGTACTCGAACATTAAGACGATAATGAGACTAAAAGGTACCGGTACGATGACGGTCGATCATGATTACATAGCATTGCGAGTTACGATTATCGAATCGAATCGAGTTGACAGAGAAGACATTCGTAGAAGCGACCGGTGAAGAATGAAAAAGAGAAAGGTAAACTCCTGGAAGTCGACAACGAGGCAAACAAAAAGGGGCGATGGATTGTCATTGATACTCGACTCTAATTAAAACCTCCCCCGTATCTCGATACATTTATGTCCTTTCGTGAAATATGCAAGCTTCGATTCGTTTCAACTCTGTTGAGTAGTTGCTGAAATTCATTCTTGTCTAACACCGTCCTTCAACCCCTTGCGCTGGCAACTGGTTCGCGGACCATAACGAGTGACCGAACCGTTACACAATAAATTCGTCGCTTTCTCTCTCTATGGAACTCGTCGGTACGATATCACTGGATAGAAATTATCAAGAGGTAACAAACTTATCATTTATGTTGCCTGGATTATATTTAAATATATAGTTAACACTAGAACTGTAGTTAGATTATGATAATTTATATTTATATCACAATACTACAAATAAATAAGAAACTCCGTAATTAATTTTAGTTGTTTATATAAAAATATTATCAATATTACAAATACTATACAATTACTAATAATTTAATGAAGATTACATAATGGAAGTTAAATAACGAATAATTTCTATGAATGAAAATTAAATAACGAAATAAACGAATGAAGAATTTCTACTATGGCTACAATATAAGTGTCAGTAAACATTTCCATGATAATAAAATTAATAGCCATTTTTAAATATTCTATTGTTTATATTAAATACACATCTCGACGGAACATAGATGTCGTTGATCTAAATTCTTCGAAGTAGAGGTCGCTACAGAACTACCAAGGACTTAAGAGCATAGAATAGTGAAAAAAAATAAGAATAACAATGGAATACACAAACTTTTGTTCGTGTATTTTATAAAGGAAATAACTTAAAATACAAACACACTGTTTTGCATCTGTAATATATCTAAAAAAAGAATTATGAATTAGTCATTTTGACCATTTCTAGTAGTTCTAGTGTTAACCTTCCAAGTACTAAAGTCCGATTATATCGACACCTATATAATGTCCGATATATATATCGAGTCTTTATTCGATTTGATTAACTTTGAAAATATAGGAACTACAATAATTTATACGAAAACATGTAAAATTGAACTTCGCCTGGCGATTTAAATCCGTCCACTAGCGAAAGGGGATATAAATGTCCCGTCCTTAGAAGGTTAAAACTGAGAAAATGTTGCAATTTGGGACAAAAAATTCTCGACGTGCGAGTGCAATTTATAGTTAATCGACTATATATTCCAATTTATTCTGTGCAATGATCGCTAGTCTGATAAGTGGAATTAATAACGCCTCTGTTTGACAGATACGTGCATTTCAAATACAACGTAAGAATTGACTAATGCGAACGATGAGCAAAAACAGACTCGTTTCTTTTAAAATGGTAACGCGATACAACAAAGTCTGGAGACTTTACTATAGCGTAGCCTCTTATCTCGCAGATACCGTCGCATTAACTAAGGACACGCTACTGCTGCACATGCACCGCAGAGGCAAATGATTCTCAACGACAACATCTACGTAGAAATTAGCACAAATATGTAACTACGCCCGCTGGCAAGATTCAACATCAAGTGTCCATAAAGAGACGTTATTACTTACTGAAATCACTCGAGCAAGATTTGCAGCACCGGCCTGGAAGAAGAACTGGCTCTTTACACGTCAGCTCTGGACATTCGTTTTTGATGTTGCGACAGTGAACCCTCGCGACGATTCGCCGTTTCTTTTGCACCTGAAATCAAACGTACGTATTTTTACACGTTACGAAGGTCCAACGACTTTTACACAATTGACTGATGGGGAAACGTCTGAACAACGTCCATCGGGGGAAAAAAAAAAAAAAAAAAAAAGAAAAAGAAATAGGAAAACTATAGGAAACAACGTCAATTGGTTAATTACTATTCAAGTGTACCGGCGAATGTTAATACGTTATTTTCCTTTTCCAAATGATGCGAATTCCTGTGAGTTTCTCTCTCTCTCTCTCTCTCTCTCTCGGCCAGCGTTTTTGTTCATGCTAAAAGGACACGTTGTTCGCGATTGATGTTTGAAAGTGCGACTGTTAATGTTCCCGAACGTGTAAACGTGCTTACATGTTTATTACTCCTTTTACAGACCGCTGCGACGGTAGTTGTAATAACATTTACACGCACCGCGTTCGTAAATCTATCGTCAAGTAATTGGTAGGTGTTATTGGTCACAAAAGACTCGTTTATCACGGTCAATGGTGCCATTATTCGCGGCGCGATTTACAATATTCGCGATGATATAAATTATCGTTAAACGTCTCAGTAACTTCGCCACTTTCTAAAGGTTCGCGCGAGAACGAAACAAAAAAGAAAAAGAAAAAAAAAAGAAAAAGAATCGTCCACCTACCGCGGTCTATTCTGAACCGTATCAAAGACGGCAATTGTTACAAATCTGTTCGACAATACACGTCTCGCAAACTCATATTCCCTCGATATTATAGTCCAGTGCCTTGCAGTTTCAACTATAGATCTGCCGTTTCTACTGAAATTATTTCTCTTTTTAGATGTCTTGCTCCTGCACGATCACGCCGTTTCTTACGATTACATACTCACGTGTCGCATTACGATTTCATCCGGGGATAACGAACATTTGTCTGCGAGAATTATTCTTTATTCGTTATTTACAAAAGATACAGAAAAATTGTAATCAAACGACATAAATATGTTGTGCAATATCTAAATAATTATTTAAATAATTTGTTCGTTGTTTTCAGGTGAATGCATCAGGTTTTCACTGAACGGCAAGAAATAACACGTCGACATGTACTAAATTATAAATTACTTTACGCGAAATCTTCGATAATAAAATAATAATAATAGAAAGAACTGGGCGGGACTAGAATATATATACAGGCGCACTGGACACAGAAATCATAAAATCTACACGACGACTTTCCAAACGATCCAAGGAACACGTGTTGACTGGTCCATAAATACTCGACTTTAGAGCAAATTCGTGGCGCTTAGTTTATCTCTGGATCTGAGGAACTAATCTTGAAAGATTCTTTTTCAAAACGGGACGTTCGGCCAAAAAGGAAGAATAAGAGAGAGAGAGAGAGAGAGAGTTCCAGTTACACACCAGACACCCGAGAGAGTGGGTAGGAGTTAAGTTGAGAATTTTACGGAGCTGCAAACGCTCGATGTTGATTCGACTATCAGAACGAAGAAAAAACGAAAAAAAAAGAAAGAAAGAAAGAAAAAAAAAAATAAACGAAACGCGATCAGAGACAGCCGCAGGCGTTCAACTTCGCATTGCAGGAGAATCGGGGCGCCAGAAGTAAATTCCGAGATTCAGTGGGCCTTGTGAGGTCGCGGTGACAGTTAACTGGGACCTGCTAAACGGGTAGGTGTATTTTTTTTTTTTATCGCCCGGAGAGATACATTTAGGTGCCGCGACCGACGCATGCTTTAAATGCCTCTGATAAATTTCCGTGATAGTCCGAGATACGGATGTAACTGAAACTTTTTCGACCGACCTGAAAAAAATCTCCGGGAAACGATAACGATAAGGACGATAGTGAAGAATGAAGTGACTGGAAAGATCACGAGGTATCTAATTGCATTACCGATAACGTGGCGTAAATCTATAGCTTTCACAGAGGTTAACCTTCTTGTTAAGCATTCGACATAACAACACGCCGGACAGAGAATCAATATACTCGCTTATTTCTTTTTTTTTTTTTTCTTCGTTCTTCTTCTTCTGTTTAAGGAAGTCCCGAGTATTCCTCGAAATTCCAAATATCGTGCAAACACAGCTGCCGTGACGTCGCCGCCAAAAATACCGCACGACTGCGTTAATATCGCAAGCAAACGGCCAAATGAACGTGCACATGTAATGCAAGCATCCGTGCACGATGTCGCGGGCCAACAGTTTCTCAGCGAGGCGCAGAAAGATCAAGTCGAATGAAGATCATCTCGATTAAAAAGCATCTTGCTATTTACAAGCCAACGCGGTTCGTTCCACCCACTCCGCTCACGATTTCCTCGTATGGCCATTCGTTATTTTCACGCTGTTCTTCGAGAAACAAGAGAAGAACACGACGTTTTCGCCTGAATCAGGCCGGAAGTAGTAGGTATTTGATTCGCGCGTGGTGTTTTTCTGGGTTTGAGTCATTCTTCGCTTTTTGATCCGTGCAGTTTTATATATATATATATAAAAAAAAAAAGAAAGCCTTCAATCTCTCAACGTGCTATTAAAAACCAGTTTCCATGGGAAACGTCGAACATTTTAACAAACGTGTTACCTATATCCGATTCAGCTTGAATTAGCAAGCGTTATTTCGACAAGCAAATTCAATTGAGCGTAAGAAGAGACACGTGTAATTGCCGGAGAGGGGGGAGAATAAAATGGACAACGATAGACGTTCGACTCGATATACGACTTTGGGTAAAGAAACGATGTCTCGTGTGATTCACGCGACGTGTCTGTCTGGCTCTGCTCACCAACGAAGCCCGTGACCTATCAATAGCTTCTCATATACACTGAAGAGGGACTGTCATTCCACCGAAGACTAAAAATAGAGTTCGCGCGTCCGTCCGTAAGTCGCTGGGCCCGAGAGGCGCTCCTCTACCAGCGCCTCACTTTCCTTTTCTCTTTTTCAATCGCGTTTTATGTTTCCTCTTCGTCCACTCTTCCGTACCAGGCTTAATCCTTCGCCTTTCTCCCCCCCCCCCCCAAATCAGTATTCTATAGTTATATTTCCCTGCCGCCCGCCGTCGCGGCAAATACTTCGATGGATCTTGATACACGTATTTATACTTCTATAACTCGATAAATTGCAATTAATTCTTATTTGGCAAACGAACTTTCGAATGCTTTTGGGGTATAATAATTTCAAACGAGACGAAAACCTTCGATGTCGGACGATTACGCGCGAAACAGAACTTTACAAATATATATTTGATAAATAATGATTAATATTTGTAACGCCACGCTGACGTACCAGACAGAGTTTTTAATTAGAGAAGAAGTTAATACTTAAAAATTAATAATCTAACTTTCTTTATTTTATAATCTCTTAGTTTTGAATGCAAGCTAAGCGAAAGTTCCAAGGAGCAGGTTGTTTTTTTTACTTCTGATATTAAACGATTTAAATTTTTATGCTATTACTCTTAATGAATACAAATTTGTAACCTTTATATCAGTTATTTATATCCTATTTAATATGGAATACAACTTTTAAAATTTAATATAAAATATAAATCTCTATGTAATAAATATTTCAGTCTGAGTACAATGGAAACACTCTAGAAACTTCAAATGTAATAGATGCAGAGAAGAAGACAGGTTCTCCCTTGTTCTCATTTTCTAAGATAATAGAAAGAATTTCACCAGATAAAACTAGTCCTTCATATACACTCAGAGAGGTATGATTAATCGATTGATTTGAAACTAAATTATAATTTAATTAATTATCCTTTATATCAGTTATTTATATCCTATTTAATATGGAATACAATTTTTAAAATTTAATATAAAATATAAATCTCTATGTAATAAATATTTCAGTCTGAGTACAATGGAAATACTCTAGGAACTTCAAATGTAATAGATGCAGAGAAGAAGACAGAGGTTCTACCTTGTTCTCATTTTCTAAGATAATAGAAAGAATTTCACCAGATAAAACTGGTCCTGAAAACTAGCATATACACTCAGAGAGGTATGATTAATCGATTGATTTGAAACTAAATTATAATTTAATTAATTATCCTTTATATCAGTTATTTATATCCTATTTAATATGGAATACAATTTTTAAAATTTAATATAAAATATAAATCTCTATGTAATAAATATTTCAGTCTGAGTACAATGGAAACACTCTAGAAACTTCAAATGTAATAGATGCAGAGAAGAAGGCAGGTTCTCCCTTGTTCTCATTTTCTAAGATAATAGAAAGAATTTCACCAGATAAAACTAGTCCTTCATATACACTCAGAGAGGTATGATTAATCGATTGATTTGAAACTAAATTATAATTTAATTAATTATCCTTTATATCAGTTATTTATATCCTATTTAATATGGAATACAACTTTTAAAATTTAATATAAAATATAAATCTCTATGTAATAAATATTTCAGTCTGAGTACAATGGAAACACTCTAGGAACTTCAAATCTAATAGATGCAGAGAAGAAGACAGAGGTTCTACCTTGTTCTCATTTTCTAAGATAATAGAAAGAATTTCACCAGATAAAACTGGTCCTGAAAACTAGCACTTCATATACACTCAAAGAAGTATGATTAATTGATTGATTTGAAACTAAATTATAATTTAATTAATTATTATCATTATTAAATCTTTTATCTAGTTGGGAAAAGATATGACATCATATATCCAAAATGAATTAGAAGCATTAGAAAGAGAAACTTAGAAGAAATTTAATACCAAATTAAATTATCGCAGAATATTTTTAAATGATTAACCACTTGCGCTGAAATGACGTGTCACGCGCGTTGAGAACTTTTTTCCCCCAAAATTGCAATATCTTCACCGTTTTAAGTATATTTCAATATATACCCAGCAAGATAAATAATAAATTGATTACTTCTTAGTAATTTCTATCCAGCAATATTATACTCCAGCCCCGAGTTTAAAAAGAAAGCGACGAATTACTGTACACTCGGTTTGGTCACTCGTTACGGTCCGCGAATCAGTTGCCACTGTCCAAGGAATTAAGAGCTCCATCAGTGAATGGAGAAGTACCG